TCTCGTAGACATAGCAGACCTCACCAACCCGGGGACGAGCATCAAAGAACTCCGCCGGACAATCTGTCCGGTAAGTGCGCACCTTGCTCTCCACATCCTTGCGCACAGCCGCAGTCACTGGACAAAAATATTAAATTAGATGATTACTGATTAAGGATGCCTTTGTCTGGAAGACCCACCATCATCGCCGTACTTCTTCCAGTGCTCAAAGTGCACATCGGCAATGGCCGCCACCCGCTCCTTCACTGTTACAGGTAGGAATCTCTCGTTCAGCTCACCCAAGCTGTAGAGTAGCTTACACGTCTTGAAAGCGGCCGAAACCTTAGCTGACTTCACGCAGTCCATGGGTTCGCTCTGCAATAATCAAAGTAATTAGGGGTCTTATGGATATCATTTTATGGAAAATCATTTGTTTTGACTTTAAATCAGCATGAACAGCATTTACGAATTTATGTGGCCTTGAACTTTGAACGCGTTCTTCTCAAAACATATTTTTTCGATTTTGTGTACACCATTGAGAAAGCTGTACTGAACTGATCGCGCATTTATTAGATAATTATTTGTATTTTGAAAACAAACATTTTAAAGTGAATTTTTCTTTACGAAAAAAAACAATGTCATATAGGCACTATAAGAATATCATGTACAGAATAAAGACACTTCATATGTTTTGTTTAAAAAAAAAATGCATACAAATTTAAAAACATTTAAAATTATTGTACCCGATAAAAAAATAGTAAGTATTTGATTTTTTGACCCAATTTCAACTTGTAGCTTACGTAAATCGTGTCCTTCAGCCTGGAGTTCAGTGGCAGACTGATGGAGATTACTTTCTTCGTCTTCGCAGAGTCTCCGAAAAGCCTTTTGCATTCGTTTTCGTCCAGCAAATTGATCCAGGGGATCACAAATCCAAAGGCATCCGAGGGCATGGTCTGGCAGTAGCGATGGAGCAGGATCAGGGCATTGCTGGCCAACAGAACGGCTCCGTGCTCGTTGACGAACTCCGGAATGATATCCTGGAAGTGCTGTCTTATCTCGTACATTTCCGGCTCAGTTCGATCCAGCACTCTATCCTTTAGATACTTGGAAATTTCCTCATGGGCTTCGCGATACTGAACAATTTGCTGCGATATCTTGGGCTTATCGAGGTGGGAGGCAAACATCACGAATCTGGCTTCCTTGGAACGAGCCCGACCCTTCGTCTGCACATACATGTTGAAGGTTTTGAGCGGATCCAGGATCAGGACCTCGTTGCAGGCCTGCACATCGATGCCCTCTTCCAGAACGCTTGAGCAGACCATAACATTGGCCTCGCCAGCACGAAACTGCTCAATTGCCTGGAAGGTAAGAAGTATAATAAGCTAAGTTTCTTGGCCACTTCTGCCACACCTACCGTTTTTTGCCACTTGCGCTCCAGGACGTTCTCAAAGTCCGGGGAGATGGAGTTGCGGCCCACCATGAACTGCGGAGTGAGCACATTTCGCAGTTCCGGCGTGGCCTCGATAAAGTTCAGCAGCAGGCCGTAGATGCACTTGCAGGTGTAGCGCCGTTCGACGAAGACCAGGCAGCAGATGTCCTTGGGGTCCTTGTGGGCGAAGGAGCGCTTCAGATATTGCAGAAATGTCTGCACTTTGGGGGTGGAGAAGTTCATGATGGTCTCCTCCGTGTTGGCCTTGTCGTCCAGCTCCTCGTCGTCGTCCACCATGTCGCGCAGCTTCTGCACCAGCATGTGCCGGATGTTCTCACATAGCGAGATGGCCGTGCGGTGCATCAGCTTCAGGCTGAGCGTCTCTGCCTGGCGCCGCTTCACCTCAAACTCCACGATCAGCGAGACAATGGCTATGGAGGCCGCATAGATGCCGTACTCTTGTAGCTGGTACTGGAAGTCGTTGAACAGCTGCTTCACCGTACCCTTCTTCTGCGGATCGCGTTGGGACTGCAAGGACTTGGACCTGCGCACCGGCTGAGTGCCAATGTCCATGAGGTCCAGCGCTGCGAAGAACTTCGCAATCTGTGACCTAATGGATTGTATAACTGCAAAAGTCTGTACCTGATCTGGATACGTGAGCAGGTACTCCTTGGGCTTGGTGGAGTACCTAAGAAGGGAAGAGATGCAAGAAGATGTCAAAGAACGCCTGGGAAGATAGAATAGCCTCTTACAGCATTACGTTCTCCAATTCCTTGGTATCAGCAACGGTGATGATGTTCCCGCGGAACGTGGTCTCCAGTTCCTGCAGCTTCTTGGCCACCTGCTTGATCTCGTTGCCCTTGATCAGGACTCCGGTGAGGCCCACCACGCGAGGCAGTTCCATTCCGCCGCCAAAGCACAAAAAGAGGCGCATGAACTCATGGAACGGATGGTGCCCGGTGCCGTGGTGGCACTCGTCTATGATCACGATGCTCAGGGAGCTCAGCTCCATGTGCCGCTGGGTGAACAAGTCCAGGATCACCTGGGCCGTTCCCACCAGAACCTAAAGGAATTGCATTGAATAAGTTGATATAGGGGAAAATAGTTCCAAAAAGTAAAAGAAATTTTTAAATATTTTTGGTCGTTTTATCAACATATTTTTCTAACTTAGATTTTAATTAATGTTTATAATAAACATTAAAAAGGATTTCGCATAAAAACGGCATTAAATAAATCTCGCTAGTTTTAGGGAGATATTTCAAAACTATCCATTGCACAAACTATAAAAAATATAAACGGGATAATTTTTTACAGACATTTCGTAAAATTATTAACTATAAAAGGTTTTGTAATACCCAAATATTGAGAAAGAAATGCTCAACAACTCATAGCGAATGAGATTGTAAAATACTCTTTGTCGTTTTATACAAAAATGTTTAGTCTTCGATAATAAAAAGATTATATTGGCCTTACGTTTGAGTTCATATTTCAAATGAGTCACCCCTTAAAACTACAAATAATTCAAGCTTCATAAATAATAATAAATAAAAGAATTACATTTCTTTATCGAGTTGCCGCATCTCCAGAGCTCATTAAAAATATTGATTGTGTACTTATGCAACCCAGTTGTGCATGTACTTTGGATGTATGTATTTAAATGTCTCAGTGAAGTCCGATTCCTCGGGGGCCCTTAAAAGTGCTGATCTCGGGGGATCACGTTCACTTATGCTTATGTGTGTGTATAATCGATTGAATTTCGTACGTGATCATAAGTGGGGAAGTAGCCGGAAGGGACACGTCATGCCAGTGTACTCACTTGGTTATCTCGGATTTCATCCGTCCACTGGCCCCGAGTCCATTCGTCCACGCCCTGTTCGCCCACATATAATCCGGCCTTCAAGTTGGTGTGCTTCCTTACTGCAACCAATTGTTGACGGGCTAATTCCACGGTGTTGCACATGAACACCGCCCGTTTTCCCCCATTTTCAATGGGTCTAGAATAGAATGGTTTAACAAATCGGATCAGTAGTTTTATATACTTTACTTACTTGTCCATGTCCTGAGAAAAACGCTTGAGGGCCAGGATGGCCACGTAGGTTTTCCCAGAGCCCGTGGGCAAGTATATAATGCCATTGTGTTTGGTTATATAGTCCACAAGACGCAGTTGATAATCGCGAGCCTTTTCCGGGAATTATAAGGTTTATTAATAATAAATAAATCATTAGTTTTTACGGAACACCTCACCTTTATTTCCGGGTTTAGATTGTCTCCCATGATAAGGCACAATAAATCTATTAAATCCTGGTGAAAATAAATTTGATGCGAAACTCTCGAGGTCTTTTCTCAGACTGACAAACTGACGTCTTTAGCTGACGTTTGCTGACGTGGCGAATTCGAACTCGAATGTGTTGTATGATGGGCGATAAAGATGCCGGCATGAAATTCTGGGATTCACCGGTTTTTGTTTACGCGAAGCAAGAGTTTTACCTGTTTGGCCACTTGGGTGACAACCACCTGTGGGCCAAACTGAATGACCCAAAACTATTACCTTCGCGAGACTGGCAAGACCAGTTTAACACGGCCTTCACCTTAGTATCCAAACCAACTACACTATAATAATAAACTAAGAAAATTATAGAGCAAAAATGAAATTGGGTGTCAAACAAAGAACAGGCGGGGACAGCGTGGCCAGCGATTTGTTTTGCTTTTCTTGAGCTTAAAATCTCAAGAATTCTGCTTTTGCACGCGACTGGTCACACTTCTCAAGACGGAAAATATAAATGTCTTTGGTTTTGTGCTCTTATCAGTATAATAAAAATATTCAAGCACTAATGAAATGGAATTTAATTGCATTTTGCAAGACATTAGTATTATTTATTAATTAAAAATGATTAATTACTTTTGACTATTATTATGGAAAAGGAAGGTAACAAATGGCTAAACTGATAAGAACCTCTTAAGTTTCTAGCCGCTAATCTTTAATTAAAGTATTAAGTCTTCAGCTGCGTACTTTTGAGATAGTCAGCACAACTATTTCCATTTCGAATAAAGTTAAAAATGGTTAAATGACTGTCATGTTCAAATTTTTTGAAAAATAAAGGTTAATATTCTGTTACCCAAAAAAATTAATGTTTTTATTCTATTACAAAAAACAATTAAATTTAAAATGGTTTTCACCAAAATTTAAATAATAATCTTAAGCCCCAAATTTTTTTTTACGCATATAAAATATTGTTGAAATCTTATCAAAACAATAGATAGCTTATGTGGGTAATCAATGTTGTAAACAAACTAGAAACCGGAAGATAACCTTGCGTATGACTTTCATCATTCTTGTATTCGGCCTTCTCAAAATAATGTTAACATAAAAATATACAAATATATTTATAAATATATATATATTCAAAAAGCTTAGCATTGATGTGTGAAAATGTGTTTTTTTATTTTTGTTTGACATAACTCCAAATCATCTCTACTAATAATAAAAAATTTAAATTATCTGTTCAGAAAGTTCTGAAAAAAAACCATGAATTTTGAAAGTGACAAAAATGGTGGAGCAATTAACAAAACTTGAAACAAAACACAAAAGTTGTTTATTATATTATTGAAAGTATTTGGCTTTATTGATCATGATCGTTCTTACACATAACATTTGCTTATCGGCTTAAAGAGAACATGAAAAGGATATCCTTACGGCTAAGACTATGTACACATGGGACGAACCTTCTCACGTCTGCTCCTTGTTGCCACCGGCACTCTTGGTATCCAGATCCACAGCCTTTCCGCCGGCCAGCATGTGCTGGATCTCGATTATCGTCTTGCCCTTGGTCTCCGGCACGAAGAACAGGGAGTAGAGGAAGGCGAGGACCGCGATCGCGGTGAAGATCCAGAAGGTGGGGCCCGGTCCGATCGCGGTCTTGAGGATCGGGAAGAGCAGCGTGACCATGAAGGCCGACAGCCAGTTGCTGGTGCCGGCAATCGATCCCGCCACACTCTTCACATCCTCCGAGAAGAGCTCCGCCATGACCAGCCACGGCACTGGTCCGAATCCTATCGAGAAGAACACCATGAAGATGCAGATGCTGCTGATGGGCAGCCAGCCAAAGTTGTCCATGGAGCCCGGATTGCTTTCGCTCAGCTGGAAGTAGACGCCCATCAGGGCGGTGGTCACGGCCATCAGGAGGCCGGAGATCAGGAGCAGGATCCTTCGGCCGGCCTTGTCGATAATAGCCACACCCACCAGTGTGCTGGTCACCTGGACGACGCCAATGATGATGGCGGCATTGCTGCCACTTAGACCGGAGCCGGTGTCCTCGAAGATGGATGCGGAGTAGAAGAGGATGGCGTTGATGCCCGTCCACTGTTGGAACACCTGCAGCAGGATAGCAATTCCAAGACCCTTCAAAACGATGGGACGACGAAGGGCGGCCACAATATTGACCTGAAATTTAGAAATAGAATGCTCTTTAGTTATACACTAATACACAAATGAGATAGTAAAAACAAATTTTTGGCTATTGCATTAAAAATTGTATATTTTATATAAAAATTAGGATAACATTAGATCTAAATGGGTCCTACTTGTTATATGCATATTTAAGTTGAGTAAATTTATTTAGTAAATTTTCAGAAGCTAATTATTGATAATATTGTAATATAAATCTTGAAGTATTAACCAAATTTATTATTTGCATATTTCAAATAATTTAAAACCACAATAGATACAAATAATACAAATATTTAAATTTGGTGTGAAATAATACGTTATTTTTATAAGCTTACCAATGCTGACTTTTTTTCGATAATTAAATAACTTAATTTGATTAACCTATAAATTTGTTTAACCTAATTTTATTTGCATGTTGTATTGGAAGAAAAGCTTTAATTTAAAATTAAAATATACAACTAACCCCTTAAAAGATTTCAATATCTTGTTGCCTGTGCAATCTTAATTGCCTCTCTATTATTTTCTCACCTTTGGTGCATCACTCTGCTTCTGGGACTCCTCCAGGATCTCCTTGAGCTCGTCGTCGATATCGGCATCCTTGCCCCGCAGCCACTGCAGAGACTTGGCGGCATCCTCATTCCGGCCCTTCATGGCCAGATAAACGGGGGATTCCGGCATGAAGAAGTGGATGGTGGCGAAGATCAGCGGCAGGATGGCGCACAGGATGTTGATGGTGAGCAGGGGCAGGAAGGCTCCCACCAGGTAGCCGTACAACACCCCGGACACGATCAGCAGTTGGAAGAAGGCGCCGATGGTGCCTCTCAAGGCGGTGGTACAAATCTCGGTACAGTACATGGGAGCAGTCACACAAAAGGCTCCGCCACACATGCCCAGGATAAATCTTCCGAAGTACAGCATGGTCACGTTGTTGGCGAACAACATGAGCACCCAGCCCACCATATAGGGCGGGATTAGGGCCAACATGGTGGGTCTCCTGCCGATCCAGTCGATGGCAAACCCAATGGGAATGCAGACCACAGTGGCGCCCAGGGTCAGCAGCGAGGATACCCAACCGAACTGGCTTGTACTGATCGCGAATCCATAGTCCGTGCTCTCGGTGATCATTTTCTCTACGGGCGAGGACCAGCCGATGGAGGCACCCATGCAGAGGGCCCCAAAGCTGGCCGACAAGCCGGCAATGTATTGCGGCAATACCGATCCCTTCGACATTATATTATAAAAAGTGCGTTTTCCGGGTGTTCTAATAGAAGGTGCTACCTCCTCGATCGTTGGGAATGAACTGAATTCGCCACGCGACCGTTATTCCGCTGGAAAAATCGCTTTCCATGCGATAACTAAAGCAGCGAAGTCGACTGCGAAGTCAAGCAGTGCAAGTCATAGTCGTAAATCAGTTCCCTATAGTTCAGGTGATAGATGAGTTTAGGTACTGTAGGGGGAGGCGGAGGCACAGCGTCATTGAAAGCGCCCAAAATCAGTTGAAAGTCGAAGCAGCTAATTAAGAACCCTCCTCCTCCGCCAACAACACATGTCGTTATAAGAGCAATCAAGTGCTTTTAAACGAATTCTCCGATTTATGCCCTACGGCGAAGTATGCCGACTAGCCCTTTAAATTAGTTTTAAATTTTAGTGGGAGTACCCTTTGAATACAGGAAGTCCACAATAACCGCTCCATCTTTAATTTGTGGGAATATAAAACACCTTATTTACCTTGTATTACTCAAAAGCTTAGTTATGTTTACATTTTCTATTAATGACTCTTAGTTTATTTAAAGATAGTTTGTAAAAAGCACTAAAAAATAAATAAGCGGGAAGATATGGGCAAGTACTAAATGTAAACCTGTATATAAATAGGTAAACATTTTGATAAATAACTTAGTTTTAAATCAAGTTAACAAAACATGATTTGTTATTATTAGTATTAATTTATCGAAATTTGTTTAAGCATACTCTATTAATTCTCCACAGGGTGCAAAAACTGAGTGACCATTACAGTTTTTCATCGGTCATAGCTTTACTGTTAAAGGGGTATGTTGAGTGATAAAAATGAAAAGGAAATCATTAGTCGTTTTAAAATGTTTAATAGTTATTAAAAATACGTTATACAAATATTTGGATTGTGAAAAAATATATTTTTATTTCTTAGTGATTCAAATTACCAAGTTAGTTCATTAATATACAATGATGTATTTTACTTACAATAACTGATAACCAATGTTGATAGACATAATCACTCCTAGCACAATTTTTAATCCATTAACTGCAATTATATATTATATCTTAATTTTTTTAAAGTTGCTTCTCTGACAAATATATCAGATAAACATAAATCATATCAGGTTAATTAAACTGTGCAAGAATATATCTTATTTTTTATTTATTTAAATTTACAAATTATTCATTAATATGGCATTATATATATTTTGCTTTGCATGATCTATGTTTTCCTGTTATTATTTTTAAACTATTTGCTGGCAACTAAAAAATATATTAAATTAAGACAAACAGTTGAATTAATACATAATCATATTTGCACATAAATATTTTTCCTATCTTTAAAGGTAGGTTGATTAATTCTAATATGTTTAATATAAATCTTATCCCATTGAGAGTAGCCTATCTTCGGCGTGATAAGGTCATAGCTTTTCGGTATTTTGTTATTTACGGCACAATTGGTTCAGCGCTGCCGTGTGAAAAGCAGATAATAACAGTGACAGAGACGCTACGAAATAATTGAATGAGCGTAAATCGGCGGGAGTGCATCTAATCTCGGCTAGCAAGCCCCATCGCATAGCATCACGCCCAAAACACATGTAGAGAAATCAATCCCCGTATTGTGGACCCCAATGTGTGACAAAATTCCCAAATACTTGAACACCCGATCATTACCAAGTCGCAACGGTCATCTGGCGGTCAAGCGGCGCTATCGGCTATCAGCTATATCAGTCAACTGGCCATTGATGGCCCACGGAATTGAGGACTCGGACTCCTCTGATAGGCGGAAGGGGGATTGTCCAGATAAGCGATTACCACTGGCTCCGGGTACCGGGTAAGTATGACAGTAGTATTCGGCAGAATAACCCATTTTCAAGTAGTCCGCCGTGGTGCTCATGTAATGGCCTTATCTGGCAATCCCACACCGAGTGCTCTTGGCCTGCAATGGAGTTGTTTTCGCCAGATAATGGGCAGCGAATGCATTTCGAGTATCCCCTGGAGCCGCATCATAGTTATTTCCTGATGATTTACAGTGGTAAACACTTATCGAATCCCCAATTTCGATTTCGGTTTCGAGTGTTGTTCGGTTATAATGCAAGTCTTTATTACGTTGTTACAGAGCAGTTAGTCACCCATCCATCCGGAGCATCAGTTGGTTGTTTGTTTGCCCCCGCTTATATAACGTGGGATTAGCGCTGGATTGATGGAAATAAAGCGGCTACTTCTTGCCCTCCGCCTCCTGCATGGCCCGCATCATTTTGGCGTCGTGCTGGGCATGGTGCTCCCGTATGGCCCGCTGCAGCTCCTCGTGGTGGCTCTTGCTCTCCGGCGGATAGAGTTCCCGCTTCTTTTTGGTCACCCACTCCTCGAAATATTCCGGCTGGTTGAACAGGTGGAACAGCGCCACCGGGAAGGCCATGTACATGCCCATCTTGGCCACCTCCAGCACCCAGGTTCCCATTTTGTTGGTTTTGGTTACTTTTGGCGCTTGAAAGTCGGAATAAAAGTTAATTTTAAAGAAATACTTTGTGTTTTCCTCAAAACAATCAACAAAAATCAGCTGTTTGACAGTGTTGCCTAGTGTTTGTGATTAAACATGATCAGTGCTGGCTAACTTTTCGCATGTTTTGGGACGGCTGTCCGAAAAACGTTTTTAGGACAGTTTTTCAAATTCAAATCATAAATTAAAATTACTTATAGAATGTAAGTCAATTGTTTATTATTTGCCCATTAATTAAACAAAATAACGGTTTCTTCCAAAAATAACGATTTTTTTTGAGTCGTATGAATAAAATTCTCTTCTCGCTAGATAAGATTCATAAATATAAAAATCTAAAACATCGAGTATATTTTTGATTTAACAAATTAAAAAAAAAAAACATTTTTAATAAATGAAACATAAATGTAGTTAATTTTAATTGTTACAAAATAATTTTGGTCCCTGGTTTTTGCTAAAGATTAGTATACAATATTCTTTTGCAAAAACCAATATAAAAAATGCACTTACTGCTGAAAAGAAAACCCTTAAAGTTGCACAATATTATATTCCTTTTCCGACAATTCCAAAGTACTATCGCAAGCACTTGAAAGAATATTATTCAACTACTTTATCAGCAACCCCCTGCACAGCTTCAATTGCCGTAACACCTTTTTAATCCTTCTAATAAAACACCGTTTACTTTCCAATTATATATAGCTATATATGTATGTATTTTTATAATTTTTCGAGGCATGCATTTATAATGTAGGATCTTAGGCTAAATTTTTAAAAACGCGTGCAAGTTAAAACGAGAGAACGTGTCATACCGAAAACATTTTTTCACGGAAGCAATCTTTTTCTTAAACATTTTGATGAGAGATGATTTTTTAAAACCGTACAACGGTTTTAACGTTAGATTATGAAAATACCTATTATAGTTCGACTTAAAACTAGAGGGCTGTTTCGCCCGGATACTCCTCTGGAGAAGTAATCAGGAGCTTCTTGGTGCGTGAGTGCTCCTCCTGGAGATTCTCCACGTTCTCCTTGTTGTCAGCGTGAAAATCGGGAGCTAGGGCTGACTTTAGGGGCGTGCATGCCGAACGCTTTCGCCCATTGCTGTGACCAAAGGGCGAGGCCAATGTGGGCTCATTTCCATCCAGGCAGTAGAGCAGACTGGGACTCAGATCGGACTCATCCAAGTCGTCGATGTCCTGCGTGGTGCTGGCTCCTCCGAAATCATCCGAGCGACTGGCAAACGACAAGTCCGCCGGACTGGCTGTGAGCACGCTGCGAGTTAACAGATATTCCCTGGGGATTAGATTGGAATTGGGATATGATAACTATTGCTAGTAGACATAATACCACTGCCGATACTCACTTGAAATCACTGGACAGGGCATTCGAGGGCTTGGAGTCTTCGTTGCTGGTGCTGCTGCTGGTCGTCCGTTGCCTGGAGTTGAAGAGGGCAAAGCTCTGCTGGTGCCTCAGGATCTCCGCATAGCCACCCAGTGAAGTGGCATCTTCGCTGTGCAGCGATGGCGGTTCCCGATGCTTGGTGGGTGTGCCGCCCCCAATGGAATCCTGCTCCTCCTGCTCAGCAAAGCTCAGGTTCAGCTGCTTGTCGCCGTTGCCGGCCAAGGCATTGAGTAGCATCACGGGTTTCCGGGATCGGGGAGTCATAATAGATTCCTAAAAGCGTGTACACAAGTGTTATTATTAGATGGAGGGGTTGATTACTTAAGTTTAACAGCGAGATACCGCCAACTTGACATTAGAAATATGTATTTTTAGGGCAAACTAGACAAGTGTTATTTGCGATTAGTGTGTTATCATAAAAACACAGTAAATTCAAGCACTTAATGGGATTTTTTCGCACCTGCATCGCTTTGGGCATGCGTTGAGTCGACTTGGTAATGGGCGACATGGAACGGCGACCCAGGTGGAGAGCCGGTGTACTCGTGATGAGATCCATGTTGCGGTACACGCTGCTCTGCAGGATCTGCTGGTAGCCCAGGCTGATTGCGGGCAGTTCGTTTGAACTGCCATTGTTTTCCGACAGCGTATCATCGTCCTCCTCCTCCGCCTCCCGATGATCCTCCTCCTCCACATCGCTGTCATCCACATCCTCCAGGAGCGGTGCATCCGCTGCCAACGGGCAGTGCTTGCCCTCTTCGCCACTGGGACGCCTCCGCAGCGTGGCCGATACACTCCTCACCAGCCGTTTGGTCGTCTCCGGTGTGCTGAACGGGAATCTGAGATTACCCATGCTGACGCCCTTCATCAGCTTGCGGGTTATGGACCTGCCCATGTGGCTGCTGCTCGCTGTCATCGAGCTGCGGCCCTCCACAATGGGCGTGAGTACGCCGTCGTCGTCCTCCTCCTCAGCGTCCACCTGCGGCAGGATACTCGAAAGATTAGGCTCCGACTTGTAGCGCGACGATTGCTGAACTGGCGTGGAGGGATTCGAGTACTCCTCGATCTCCAGCAGGCGGTGCTCGTCCCAGGCCACGCTCTTCTTATCGATGAGCTGCTTGGCGACTGCGGACATGATCTTCAAAGGCGTCACACAGCAATCGGCATCGATTTCGTCCAGGTCCTGGCCGGGAACAGCAGCTCCTCCGCCGCCACCCGAGGGTGACTCCTTCGACTGCTGGCGACTCACTGGAGCGGAGATGCTACCGCTGGCTGCACAGCTGGAGCTGCTGTCCGACGAGGAGGACTCGATCTTGAGGGAGGCGGATGAGATGGATTTCTGAAGCTGATGCCGTGGGTTAGGTGCCAACAGGGTGACGCTGGTGATGGTCGATGAGTGAGTGGGAGTGGGTGGCGTGGGACTCTGAAAGAGCACCCGCATCTTTGGCGGCTTAACATGCGACATGTTGGGCGTCTGGGCGATGAACCATGCATTGGATGAGAAGACATGCGGTTAGTCAACAGACACAGAAGCAGGCGTAACCCAAATCCAGGACTTACCTCGGGCCCTCCTGCCAAATGAAAACTGGGCGGCACTCGCTTCGGGGTGCGCGACATGAGGCTCTTGTGAAAAATGTGCTTCTTAATGGAATCGCCCAGGGACTTGGCACTCCGAGTGGCCTCGTTGTTCTTCAGACGATTCATTACCACCAGCTGCAACGGGGTGCCTGATCGAATAAGATTACAATGAATTTAGTTAAAAAAAGATGCAATGAGTAATAAAAACATTGAAAAATGCCTTTCCATTAAAAATTGTTAGGTGCCTGATCGAAAACAAAAGATTTATATGTATTAATTTATGAAAAGCATCCTCTCATAGAATTATTCGATTTTCATTTGAAAGTAACCATAGATTTCAGTAAGCATATGTTCCAATAAGTTTGTGGTTTGAAAAGTATATTATAGAAGTGTGAAAGCTTAAACATTGGTTTCTAAAATTAAAATATATTAAAAACTTCTACAACTAATCAATCCAATCAAATTTTAAATGGCTGGAAGAAGGGTTTAAGTTATCACTTTTCGATAATATACTTTTTTTAAGCTCAAGTTGCAATCAGTGTGTGGGATTTGAAAAGTATGTTATAGAAGTGCCAACTAAGTCCAATCAGTTTTGTAGTGGCTGGTAGGAGTATTCAAATCATACGACCCAGAGTTTGCAGGTTTAAAAGCCTTCCTGTAGATATAAATTAGTTTACCCTGCCCGTTTTGCTTGTTGAACTGCTTGATCAGACGCCGCTTCTTTGAGGACTCCGGCATGCTCTGAATGTGGGCATAAAGCTGCGCCAGCTCCGTGTCCGTGTTGTTCGTGTTGGTGGCCGCTGCGGTGGCGGCACGATCTACGAAAGTGTACACCGTGTTGACCGTCGAGACGTCCGAGATGGACTCGTCGAGCGTTTGTTCCGGCGACATGGTTTTCTTTCGTTTGCGCTCGAGAAAGTACGCCCGGATGTCGGTCGATAGCTTGCCGGGCACCTCGAAGATGTCCAGTCCGCGGACGATCATGTAGGTCACGATGCTGGCCATCTTCTTGGCCTGGTAGTGGAGCACCTCGGGCGGCAGCTGCCTGGGACAGATCAAATGGGGCGTGAACAGCGTGGCCAGGTTCTCGGCGCTCATCTTGTTGCTCTTCTCGTGCTGGGCCACGGCATGCAGCATTTCGATGATGTGCTGCAAGAGTTCGCGGTGTTCCTCGGGCAGGAGTAGCAGCAGCAACTGCACGGAGTTGAGCAGGTGCTGTTCACGCTCGGCGCTGGACGCGGCATGACCATTGAGCGCCTGGCAGAGCGGGGCTATCTGGAGATGGGCTGGATAGTGGGCATCCGTAAGCAGGGGCTCGGGCAGCTCGGACAGGAAACCCTTGAAAACGGTGGCGCAGTCATGGGCCGAGAAGCCGGCCAGCTCCAAGTTCAGTGGCTTGTCGTGTTGGATGTGCATCCTCAGTTCGTTTTGCCTGGACACGGCTCCAGCCTTGCGGAACAGCCCCTCCTGGGTGAGATCTGCGGGGGTATCAATTAATAACTATCTTAATGGGTTTCCTCTGCTATACGTACTCTTCTCCAACATGAGAAACTCCTTGAGCTCTTGCAGGTGCATCAGAAATCCCGGGTCAATTTGCTGCTGCAGTGTTTCCGTGGGACTATTACCCACCGATTTGCTGCCTGAGCCGGCGGCACACGATGTGCCAGTTGCTCCCTGGCCCAGACGGTGTTTCTTGGACAAGCGATTCCACTTCTTCAGCTTACCCTTGTCCTCGTAGACGATTTCGTGGCAGGGAAGGTCAAACCTGGGGATGGTTGGTTTATAAAAATGTCCTGTAAGACAAGGAGGTTCCTCTTACTCATCGGTATTTAGTTCCAGTTCGAAGGATAAGTGCATGCGCACTAGGGATTTGTACTTTTCGTAATTGCAACGGCGCATGCGCGCGGCCAAGTCGCGATCCCTGAAGTCATTGATGTTCGCATGGTCCGTGTCCATAGTGGTTTCCTTGTTATTTGAAATTATCGAGTAAACACTGTATATATCCACGAGCAACCACAACAACAACAACAAAAACAGCAACGACTGCCAGCGAAAATAGCAAAAACAACAACAGCGTTAGCAAGGACAATGACAAGTTTGTTCCGTAAAAACGAAGGCTACTACTCCTTTCACTTTCGCCCACAATGATTTTTTGTCTAGGAGTGTATTATTGTCGAAGGTTTGTTGCCCGGACACATAATTCCGAATTTATCACATTTATCGCAAATTTCAACTGAAAATTATTGAAAATTGAACCGAGACGCTACCGAACCAGTGTGACCGCGGCTAGAGCGCCAAATTATGATTATCTTTTAGGGCAAATTGCATGCGCTGATCTGGTAGCTCCTTATTTTAGTTAATTTAAACTTTTTTGTACGCTTTGGGATATATATTTATACTATTTACAAGATTTTAAAAGCTTACAAATGAGTTTTCAGCTAAAAACACCTGTGACAGTGATTTCAATCAAAGGTGGAAAATTTGGAACAGAGTTGCCAGAGTTCGGACGTTTTAAATCTTAAAAACTATTCATCAATCAATATTAAAAAAAAAGCGCCTTGTTATTAATGCATTTCAAGCCTTTTGTTTATTCCTGATTTTATTGCATGTACTATTTAGCTTTTAAAAGCGCTGCCAGACTTTTTAGAACATACCTTAAAAAAAAAATCATCGATGATGCCCTGCCATTTATCGAAGTTACCGATGATTTGAAAACGATCTTAGTCCACCTCTAGTTTGAACGCGCTTTTAGCAATTTTATCAATTTGTGTATTAAAATGGTGCTTATTATGCGAATTTCTCCGCCAGAGCATGGCCTGCTTTACACAGCAAACAATATCAAGCTTAAGCTTGGCGACAAAGTGGTGGGCGAGGGCACAATCTACATTGCCCAAAAGTGAGTGAACCGAAAGCTTTCGCCGGCGTCTATTGTTGTTGTTTTTTGATAAGCCCATCAACACCCCAAAATAATCAACATTTAACTCTCTTAGTACGCTATCCTGGCAGCCTAGCGACCTGGCCGAGGGAATTTCCATCGAATGGAAGCAGGTGAGCCTGCACGGTATCTCCTCGAATCCGAGGAAGTGCATCTACTTCATGCTGGACCACAAGGTGGAATGGAACGGGGTCTACGGGGATCCCCCACAGCCGGCGGTGAATGGCCAGAATGGTGGAGGTCCAGAGGCCGACGTAGATGAGGGCAATGGGAGCGATGAGCACGACGAGGAGGACGACAACTTCGAGGACGCCGTGGACGAGCAGTTCGAGGAAGTAACTGAATGCTGGCTCCTGCCGGACGACATCCATACGGTGGACACCATGTACAGCGCAATGACCACTTGCCAGGCACTGCATCCGGACTCGGCGGACAGCGACTCGGAGGACAGCGATCCCATGCAGGATGCCGGCGGCCTGGACGACGAGGCCATGGAGGAAGAAGACGCACTGACGCTGGGACGCAATGGCGTCCAGAATCTCAGCCTGGATGACGACGACGAGCGATTCGAGGACGCCGATGAATGAAGCATCACATATTTATATACCGATATCCCTTTTTTACCAGCTTAAGTGTATGAATTGTAAAGATACATATGTATTTGAATAGCTTTTGGAGTACTAAATAATAAACGCTGTAAGCGCGCCTAAGAATTATAAAGCTTCCTTTGTGTTTTCTTTGTTCCGTGCTATTTCTGCTTCTAGATCCGCTTCGCTGATGGGTTTTGAGAGCTACGGATGAAATGGAGGTCATTGGAAAACCTTTATAAGAGTGCACATACCCACAGCCTCGGCCACATCCGCCAGAAGCAGCGCCTGTCGGTAGGCATCGCCATTAGAGGGCACCTTATCGTAGTTCCAGTAGGTAAAGTCTTCGAAAACTCCCGTAAGTCGCAGCTGTCTGTCGGACGATTCGTTAATAGGCTTCTCTGTTTCCTGGATAACTAGTCCACGATATCCTTCTGGCACTTTGAGCTTCTCCCCCACCAATGGATATCCGCGCAAGGCATTCGTCAAGATTCCATTACCAAAATCGGTTGCTTCCCTTGTGTAGTTGTTGAAGTACTCCTCCACATTTGCCTCGCCATCGCCGTCAATTTTGGCTGGCAGATAGTGCAGATTCACAGACTTGCTTTTGGCCAGGTTCTTGCCACTAAAATCCAAAGTGATCGACATTGCTTATATTAGTTATAGCAACAAAATAAAAGGTAAACAGAAACGCCGCCAAAATGATATTTTCAGTGATGGACAACGTTTGAAACCATTTTGATGGTTTTAGTCACAGCTAAACTCCAATCGATTCCACGCTTCAACCAAGATATATCGATAGTGTCATCGTTTTTTTTTTATGAAACAAAATTAAGAACTAAAAATACCAATATACTCAAAGAAATTGAGGTAATTATTTAACGCTTTTTCAAAAAGCCGCTGTTTCTTCGTCAGAAAAATATATTAATTGCTTAGTTGGTTGAAAAATTGCAACTTATAATTTTTGTGAAATATATATATATATATATCGAAAACGTGATCAACTTTTTTTTAATACAAGATATTTATCATTATAAAAATTCATACAAATTATAAAAATTAAACTTGAAATATATATATATATATATTTTCGATTTGCCATAGAAAACGAATACGTGAATTTTTTTTTTTTTCTGGTAAGCGTTTTTGGTACCCAATTTTTAACTAGAACATATGGATAACGGTCCCTCAGTAAAAATCGCCGAGGCATGTAGTGAACACAAAAGATTTTTGATCTCTGTGCAAAACTAACCTTATATTTGTAAATATATATGTATATAAAATTTAATCTATCAAAATCTAATCAAGTGAATAATCGATTGTTGCTGGAAAAATGTATTCGATAGTATCATAGAAACATCGATTTTTGTTCCACACCTAGACGTTCTGCCACCACTAATAAAAATGGCGTTCGAAGTTGTAGTTAAATTTTTAAGGGAATCCATCGTAAAACAATAGCGCGTGTGGCCGCGACAGCAAAATTCGCGCATTATCAACCGATCCGTTCATGGGCGTGCGTGGTCGTAGAGTTTTTGGCCGATTTCAAGTGAACTAGAGCTATAGAACTGTGCCTCCGTTGGTTATTATTGCAAATTCTAGTACCACTTACACACACTCGCACACACATCGCTGTATCGAAGGAAATACGAGTGCGAGTAAATAGTGAGGCACCCATACTGGAGCAGCGACTAAATTAAAGTTAATTAAACGCCTAGTGGTATTTCATTTAATGCAATTTGTGAAATAATAGAGAGAGTGGGAGAGACAAATCGAGACTCCCCTCCCGCTCTCACCTACAGCATGCGTGAGTAGCCCTGTGTGCGTGAGAGAGTGAGACATGTGCGTGTGAGGTGCAGCAGCAGCAACAACAATAGTAACAACAACAGCAGCAAAACAAATTCGGGTGAGTTTTTCGTGAATTTTTTGCCTACCTGCAAGATTACTTACCTATATACCTATACCTTCACTTTTGGGCTGGGTTTTTGCACTTGGGCGAAAATACATATGTACATTATCTTTGAAAAACTTACTAATAATACCCATTTTATTTCTTATCTTGCACTGTAGCTTGTAAAAACTGCAAATCAGTGTTATTATTTATATATCTATGTGCGTGTGAAATGACACACAGCAACAAACGTGAAAACTACAACAATTGCAACCGTCAAGGCTACCGCAACAGCAGCAACAAAAACAACTGCAGTTACCTTCGGCAATGAAAATACCTCTCACCGCCCTCACCTGCTCCTCCTCCTCCTTCGTTTCCTCTCCTTCTTCTTCTCCTCCTCCTTCCTCTACTTCTTTGCGCTCCGTCCGCCACTTCAACAACAACAACAAACATGCACGCGGCGTATAAATAATCAATATACAAAATAAATCCATTTATTTTTATACAAACCAAACAATATCAATTAAAAGTCGGAAATTATGAATAAATTGGATTACCCACGTCGCAATGGTACACACAAAGTTAGAATAACGAGTAAGTATGCTGCTACATGATCCATTCTAAATAAATCCATTTAATTTATGGTCTTTTTTACAGTATTGTGTGCTAGAAATTTGGCTCGCAAGGATTTATTTCGTGAGTATTTTTAAAAAAGAGATTTAAGGAACATTAATAGAAGGGGTTTTAAATCAGTATTTCAGGAAGAGATTATCATTAAGGGGTTTCCGATGGAATAATTTAAAGTAATCTTGAAGTTACCGAATTGGTTAGATTTTACATATTTTGTAGTAACAATATTGAAATGACAATGACTTATCAATGGCTGCTGAAGTGGTCGATTACTTTACGTTTAATAGATTTTGTAAAAATAAGTCAATAAAGTTGGCCATATTTTTTGAGGTATATTTTGGCGTAAGAACTTAAAATTTCATGATTACGTTTCATAGTTTGGGAATTTTCTCTGCTGATTGGGGCTAATTACTTGACTCACTTTTGGTTAGTTAAGGGAAATTTCGGGCAGTTTGCTGCTTTAAAATCAGCAAAGTTTTGTTTAAAAACCATCAATTATGTTTCTGTTTAGCCCTCCAATCAAAACACACACTTTGCGGTAAATTAAAGTTTTGTTTTATTTGCGGCGCTTGTGGCGCTGCTGCTTTTTCGTCTTCGCATTTAGCTATGCATATGAGGTATCGCTAAATTTAGCACTTCCTTTTGTCTACTTTCATTTTTATACAAATTGCGGAAAAGGGGCGGGCATGGGGGCCTTCCCCTCGGCACTCCGCTCCCATTAACTCGAAAGTGGGTGAGTGTGAGTGGTGCCATATCTGAGCGCTTATTCCATATTTTGTTTAGATATAACAAAAGTGATTATTGCTAATTTGCTTTCATTGCTGTTCACTCGTTCGCCCACAAACACAATCGCACACGGCTTAATTTTTCTTTCTCAGTATTTGTTTTTTATAATTCGCCTTTTTCCACTTCTTGTCCATTTTTTACACTTGGCTGCACTTAAATCACGCATTGCCCAATGTGCTGCCTAAAAATTACTAGCTGTAAATGGTTCTGGGGCCGCTGGTGACACTTCCATATCGGACGGCGTATTAATGCTAGTGTCTAATGTCTGAATTCCGTTGCTCACTGTCGAATATGGCATAGTTATTTAGTTTTTGCTTTCCACCATGTATATAAAACACAAATAGTTTTATCGATTATTTTGATTAGATTCGAGGTGTACCCATTGTCGGGAACAGTCATCAATGGGAATATCCTAGCTTGACGTTATAAATATATCGCTTAGGCCATAAATTATACAATTGTGAATAACAAAAGGCTGCATATAGGAGTTTTCTTATATCTTGCAAAAATCTGAGACGTAGTAAGCCTGGGAGCGTTCTTTCATACATAACAAAATAGTACACCTTTAATAGAGAATTCATAGCTGCCGAATATAGACGACAAAATGATATCTTTGCCATTGCATCGCCGACTTTTTGGTGCTTACAAGATTTCTTCGGTGCTAACTCGAGGCCAAAAATGCTTTTCGGAAGTTAAAAAACTTCAAGTTGCTGATAAAATTGAAAACATGAAATCGGTTAACATTTTCGGAATCGCTAACATAAGAGATGTTAAGCTCAATATACCAAACTATACTGAGAGCTCCATTCCACCAATAATTTGGTCAGCCCAAGTACCTCATATAAGCAAAGATAATCAACTCAATGATAACGACGATTTACTATCTTCCGAACAGCGAAGTATTAAGAGGGACAATTTAAAAACTAACAATCAAAACCAAGAGGATTGTTCAAAATTTCCCACTAAGAAACCACCACCCACAAAGAAATTTCCAATCAATGAAAATGCCGAAAAAGCACTGGAACCAGATGAAAAAATAAGAATTAAAGCCAAGTTATTAGAAAGGATTAAAGGTATTGCTACAAGAAATAAGTCTAAGCTCGAGGAAAAAGTGGAAGGGCTTAGGGATGAATTTACAGATCAATTGGTTGAAATAAAAAAAGCAGCAGCTTCGAACGAGGAAATAAAGCCTATGATGAGTTTGCAAGCCAAGGAGCCAACTTCAACTCCTCCCAAAGGACCTGCTCCACCACCCAAAGGCGACTCTGCTCCACCAAAAGGCGGTTCTCCACCACCCAAAAATCCTCCTAAAGGTCCGCCGCCTGGAACTCCTCCACCTCAGACGAAAACCACTTTCGGGCCACTGGCCGATGCAGATCGAATCTTCACCAATCTATATGGACGTCACGATTGGCGTTTGAAGGCGGCAATGAAGCGAGGAAATTGGTACAAGACCAAGGAGATATTGGACAAGGGCGACATGTGGATTGTGAATGAGATAAAGACCTCTGGACTGCGAGGACGTGGTGGCGCCGCGTTCCCCAGTGGACTTAAGTGGACCTTCATGCACAAGCCGCCCGATGGCAGGCCCAAGTTTCTGCTGGTCAACGGGGACGAAGGCGAGCCCGGGACTTGCAAGGATCGCGAGATATTGCGTCACGATCCGCACAAGTTGATCGAGGGATGTCTCATCGCTGGACGGGCAATGGGTGCCACCACCGGATTCATTTACGTTCGTGGCGAGTTCTACAACGAGGCCTGCAATCTTCAGTATGCCATTATAGAAGCCTACAAAGCTGGTTACCTGGGCAAGAATGCCTGTGGCTCGGGCTTTGATTTCGATCTCTATGTGCAGCGAGGTGCGGGTGCCTATGTTTGTGGAGAGGAGACTTCCCTGATTGAATCCATTGAGGGCAAGGCGGGCAAGCCGAGGAACAAGCCTCCCTTTCCGGCGGATGTCGGTGTCTTTGGCTGTCCCTCGACGGTGACCAATGTGGAAACGGTGTCCGTGACTCCAACAATTTGCCGGCGCGGTGGCAAGTGGTTCGCTAGCTTTGGACGCACTCGGAACTCGGGCACCAAGTTATTTAATATCTCGGGTCACGTTTGCAAGCCCTGCACCGTCGAAGAGGAGATGTCCATGCCCACCAAGGAGTTGATAGAACGCCATGCTGGTGGAGTGATCGGTGGCTGGGACAATCTGCTGGCCATCCTTCCGGGTGGCTCTTCAACTCCCTGTATTACCAAAGAAGATGCCGAGCGCTCAATTCACGACTATGATGGCCTAATGGAAGTGCGTTCCTCCTTGGGAACCGGTGCCATAATTGTGATGAACAAGGATACGGATATTATCAAGGCTATTGCCCGCTTGTCCGCCTTTTACAAGCACGAGAGCTGCGGCCAGTGCACTCCCTGTCGCGAGGGCCTCCACTGGGTGAGCATGATCATGCAGAGATTCGTCACTGGAAACGCCCAGATCGGCGAGATCGATATGTTGTTGGAGCTAACCAAGCAGATCGAGGGCCATACCATTTGCGCTCTGGGCGATGGTGCCTCCTGGCCGCCCCAAGGACTCATCCGTCACTTTCGTCCGCTCATCGAAGAGCGGATCAGGAAGCGGGAGGCCGCTGAGCAGGCTGAAGCAGATGCCATCGCCGCCCAGCGCTTCCCTTGCCAAACAGTGCCTCCTTGTCCAGAATAAAGCGTGACTAACTGCCTACTCTTTTGTGTCCAATTCCTTCAGGGCAGTGGCATGCGGCTGACTTCAAGCTCCGCTGACTTCCGCCGGCTTCCGTCCGAGTGAAAGTGCAGCCAGTCGTTAACTTCCCCGCCTTGCCGACTGGGCCACGAAATTGTGCCACGTAGCGTTAAGCCAGAGGGGGTTGAACATGCGAATGGCCATGTTGCTAGGTTTGCCCCAAAACACGGCTGCTGGTCTCTCGGCCGCCAATCCGCGGGGCTTTCTTTATTCTTCTTTCTCACTTTTCAGGCAGCTCAGCCGTGAAAAGAGTGAGGAAGTCTGACTTGTGGGTTTGGATGTTGGCTTATGCAATGCAGAGGGTTTGTTGCTTGAAATAGTTATTCTGAAATATCCGCTTCTTATCTTAAGTACGATTTACCCAAACGCTTAATAATCATAAAGTTTTATTAGCAGGCCAATTCTCTTGACACAAATTCAAACATCCGCCTTGGTTATTTTTTTTTTTCAGTTTATAAAGGCATTTTTACGAAATCACGAATTCTACACGATTACATTCAACTCCAACACAACGAAAATGTTATATTTTGTTTGAAAAAATATTTATTTTTGTACCCAACACAAATCAAAATAATTTGTCACATATATGTCTGCTGGTGAATCTTTAAAGATTATGGATCTGTTCCACATTTAAACTCGAATCCCTTCGGAAAAACTTAGTTCTTTTCGTAGAATTTCATTTTTGCAATTTACGGTGTTGAATCCGTATTTATCAACACAAAATCTATAGCAACATTGATATAGAATGTTATTTGATTGTTCTGTTGGATTTGTTCCCAATTTCATTTCGAATCCCTTCGGTGGAAAATTTGTTTATTTTCGTAGAATACCATCAATTGTGCAATACACGGTATTGAAACCGAATTTGTCTATACATTTAACATTTATAGCTTCTTTAAAGTTGAAATTTACCTCTTTCCTCTAACTTGTGCACACCTTTTTCTTCCATATAGAGTGTTCTTTAGTTGTTCTGCTGGTCTATCTACCTCTACTCATTTCCCCTGCTGTTCTTTGTATGTTCTCTCTTGCATAAAATCAATCAACAGCTGCCTGGCGACGACAGCGAAGACGTTGCAATGTGGCCTACTCGAATTACCTGGCCACGTCAAACGGGTTGTTGGTATCCGTATCCTCACCAGCTGATGAAAGGGAATGCCTTCTACTGCTTCTGCTCTGGCTCTGCTTATGGCTGATAGCAATGACAAAGGTGGCAGCCTTGAGATAACGATTCACGAATGAACATAGAGTCTATACTATAGACACAAATATGGAAGTGCGAAACACCTAGTTGTGATGTCTGCCGTGAGTCCGTGAGTCAGAGGCTGTCAGACTGGGCGGGACTGGTTGGGCCTAGTCGGGTCTGGTCCGCATAAATCATCGATTTAGTTCTTAATTGTTTAATTCAGCCGGAATGCCGGGCGCTTAATTTGTCAAGATTCGAGGCATTATCGGTGGTCGTCCAAGACGATAAGCAAAAACGTGGTGCGGCAGCGGGGGTTCCTATTTCTGTTGTGATAGCGGAGATTGGCAGATAGATTTCGTTTCTCCGCGGGCTCTTCTATGTGTGTTTCCCCATATCTCTGTCTTCTGACTAATGACACTTGACCGCATTCACGATTGCTGCTGGCCGATGGGATGTAAACATTTTTATTGAAGCATTGTTCAGATTTAATTGACATCTCTTGCCCTTACACCAAAAAAACAAAAAGTGGAGTGGGTCTCCAAATGATTGTCAGCCGAGTTCTTAATATAGAAAAACTATTTCTATGTGGGACACTTTGTATGTTCGGAAATATTGAAACCATTTCCCTGAAATATAGAAATGTTTATAAAGTTAAACATAGTTCTAAACGTTTAAAGATGAAAATGATATCCCTTAAAAATAGAAATGTTTATAAAGCACTTAGTTCTTTAAATTAGAAGATATTTATTTTGTTGAATTTATTTATATATATAAAACCTTATCCGTAAGGATTGAATGGTGGGGTGGTGGGAATCTGGGGCATCGATCCAGGCCTTGGGTTCCAGCCTCTGTGGCGTCTCTCGTCGAAGGGAAATGGATCTCCTGCTGCCAGGGTTACGAAAAGGAACACTGCCAGCAGTCCCAGAAGGTGAATCCAATTAGAAGACATTGTGTTGTTTTGCAAATGATGATCTCTCAGGAATTGGCTGCGCTTATATAGGCCGCATTTAAGCGGGGGCTTTACAATCCCCAAGCGATAAGCTTAATTCGAATAGGGAACTCACACTCGGGGGGAACTTATTCTCATAGATGATTAATCTGATTCTCTGCTGTTGACCTCCTCCAGCGAAGAAAAGATTATTGTTGGTGTCGGAGTTGGCGCTTCGGTGTATTTCTGAGGCACCTGCAAACAGCCGGGCTTAATCTGCAAGCGTTGGGCAAAGCCAGGATGTTGGTGACTATATCCAACAGAACTCCAATAAAACGGAGGCAATATTAACAGCAGCACAGCCACAATATACTTTAAGCGTTCCATGTTAGATGCAAACTAAAAAAGACAAATGTCATGGAGTATGTTTAAATAGGTTTATTTCATAGAGACTTTCGTGTGAACCCTTGGTTTACAGATCACATTTAACACTGCCTGCTATTTACGGTGTTAAGTAAACCAATGGTTCCCATCAAATGTGAGCCACGCTAACCGATTGTCATGATTTGTAATGATGGATGACAATAGAGAGTGCATGTTTATGCAGAACAATAATTCTTTTGAAATCTAGTAGAGATTTGCTTGAACAAAAAGCCCTATTTGCTAATTGCTTATTTTGTTTTGCCAATTTCGCAGGTCTGCCCGATCCCTTTGCTAAGGTTCAGGTGGATGGAACTGGCCAGGTGTACTCGACGGAGATAAGCAAGTCCTCGCTGGATCCAAAATGGAATGCACACTACGATTTGTTTCTGGGCATTGGCGACGCCATCACGATAACCGTGTGGAATCAGCGCAAGATACACAAGGGCAGTGGATTCCTCGGCTGTGTGAGGATACCCGCATTCAACATACAGAGCCTCAAGGGAGCCGGATGTATGAGAATATTGCTTTAAACAGTTTTCAAAACCTTTTCTAATAACCCATTTTACTTATTTAGTTCAACGCTTGGACCTGGGCAAACTGTCGCCGGATGACGATGAGCTGGTGCGTGGTCAGATCATCATTTCGTTGCTCTCGAAGGACGGACCAAGTAGTGGCAATCCCCTGGCCATTGTGGGACCCAGTGGCGATGTGCGTGGCCCCTCGGAGGACGACTCTTCGGAGGATAGCTTGCCCGAGGGCTGGGAGGAGCGCCGCACGGACAATGGACGCATTTACTATGTGAATCATGCCACCAAGTCGACGCAGTGGGACAGGCCCAGGCATCCGGGTGGAAGCCAGACCACTTCACCGCAGCAACGGCACAACAACCACAATGGCAACAGTGGTGATCGACAGGCGCCGGCTGGACCAACGCGCTCCACGACCTGCACCAATCTGATGAATGGCGGCCATCGCAGTCGGGATTCGGCGGCGGTGACGGCTTCAGACGAACGGCGGCACTCCACGGAGATCCTGTCCAGCGTTGGAAAGGAGAACACCAATCCCACAACGCCTGTTTCTGTTTTGTCGGCCACTACGACGCCTGGCAAGAAGACCTCCGCCTCCAACTCATCCTCGTCGGGAGGTCGCACTTTGGAGCAGCGTCCCACAAACGAACCGACCACGCCCACCAGCAGCAGCACAACATCGGCGTCGGTACGCCTGCACAGCAACGATAATCATGTGAAAACGCCAAAGCACCAAACGAATGGCCATGCTCCGCCAGAGGCCACGCCCACATCGCCCACGGGTCAGCAGAACTATGTGAACGGGAATGCTCAGAATGGAAGTGGTGGCGCTGGCAGTGGCCAGGCGGCACAGCCCCAAAGTGCGACCAACGGGTGGACGCAGGAGGAGGTCAACACAACGACAACTGCAGGACCGACGGCGACGACGACGACGACGACCACTCCTCCCAGGCACAGCCAGAGTCCGCCAACCCCAAATACGTCGCCACCCGCTTCTGTGACCCCCTCTGCCAATGGAAACGTGCACAGTCCGAATGCGAACAGCACTCCAGGTGGCGGAGGAAGCCGATCCTATACGGCCGCCACTCCCGGTCAGCGTTCCCAGCGTCGCAGTTCGCGGCAACAGGGTGAGGAGTCCTCTACTAGGCGCCGCTCATCGCGGGGAACTCGAAATGGAGGCACTTCGGGCACAGGAGGAGGAGGAGGAGGATCTAGCCAGCGGTATGCATCGGCCATTGCGGCTGCCAATCAGGCGGCTCGTCCGTTTCTGGATCTGCCGCCGGGCTATGAAATGCGGACCACGCAACAAGGCCAGGTGTACTTCTATCACATACCCACGGGCGTGTCCACGTGGCACGATCCTCGGATACCCCGTGATTTCGACACCCAGCATCTGACACTGGATGCGATTGGACCACTGCCGAGCGGCTGGGAGCAGCGGAAGACGGCCTCGGGCCGGGTTTACTTTGTGGATCACAACAATCGAACCACGCAGTTCACGGATCCCCGACTGAGTGGCAGCATTTTGCAGATGATTCGAAGGGGGGCAGTGCCGCCAGCAGCCGCCGCAAACGCAGGTAGTCCTGCTCCGCCAGCCGCCAATCCCGCAACTGCAGCAACGCCCTCGGCCACAGCAGCAGCAGTGTCGGCGCAAGCAGCGCAATCAGCGAACAACGCCGCGGCCACAACGACCACCACCACGAACACTACTACTACCAACCCGCCCCATCGCATTGTTCCGGATCTGCCGCAGGGATTGCTCGAGGGCGCCGACCTCCTGCCCAAGTATCGCCGCGATTTGGTGGGCAAGCTGCGAGCCCTGCGCACCGAGCTGCAAACGATGCAACCGCAATCCGGCCACTGCCGCCTGGAGGTGTCGCGCAACGAGATTTTCGAGGAGAGCTATAGACTGATTATGAAAATGCGGGCCAAGGATATGCGCAAGCGCCTGATGGTGAAGTTCAAGGGCGAGGAGGGTCTGGACTACGGCGGCGTGGCTCGCGAATGGCTGCACCTGCTCTCGCGCGAGATGCTCAATCCGCAGTACGGCCTGTTCCAGTACAGTCGGGATGACCACTACACGCTGCAGATCAATCCGGACTCTGGCGTGAATCCCGATCACCTGTCCTACTTTCATTTCGTGGGCCGCACCCTGGGTATTGCCGTGTTCCACGGGCACTGTCTGGATGGTGGTTTCACCACGCCTTTCTACAAGCAGCTACTGAACAAACCGATCACGCTTGGTGATATTGAAGGCGTGGATCCGGAGCTGCATCGCAGCCTCACTTGGATGCTGTAAGTCTAGGATTTATATTCATTTCTCAAAAGTTTGTTAATTATTCATTAAACAATTTTAGGGAGAGCAACATCAGCGGCATCATTGAATCCACCTTCAGTGTGGAGAACAATAGCTTTGGCGCTCTGGTGGTGCACGAACTGAAGCCGGGAGGTGCCTCCATTCCTGTCACGGAGGAGAACAAGCGGGAGTATGTCAAGCTCTATGTGAACTATCGTTTTATGCGCGGCATTGAACAGCAGTTTCTGGCTCTTCAGAAAGGTTTGTAGTTGGAACAAACTTTAAGTGGAGAAAGGCATTCATTTGAGATTATTTTGCAGGATTTTGTGAGCTTATACCCAGCCATCTCTTAAGACCGTTTGATGAACGCGAACTGGAATTGGTCATTGGCGGCATCTCCAGCATTGATGTCAACGACTGGCGGAACAATACGAGACTGAAGCACTGTACGAACGAAACGACGCAGGTGTTGTGGTTCTGGCAGGTGTGTATAGATAGCTTTGCTCTCTGTTTGGGTTGACTGGATGTGTCCATTTAATTGATTAATTCCCATATTTTCATTTCTAGGTGGTCGAGTCTTATAGCTCCGAGATGAGGGCTCGCCTGCTGCAGTTTGTGACGGGTTCGTCGCGAGTGCCGCTTCAGGGATTCCGAGCGTTGCAAGGATCTACAGGAGCGGTGGGACCACGACTCTTCACCATTCACCTGACTGCCGACGTGCCCACCCAGAATTTGCCCAAGGCGCACACCTGCTTTAACCGGATCGATTTGCCGCCCTACGAGACGTACCAGCTGCTCTGCGACAAGCTGACGCAGGCCGTTGAGGAGACCTGCGGCTTCGCCGTGGAGTAGGGACCAGCAGATGAGATGCAGTAACCCTTTGACCACCACCCGCATCCAATCCACGCATATGCATATACATAGACACCTTAAACTATATATTATACAAATTATAAAGAAGCATATATCAAGGCGATTTGAAATCAAAATTGTACTGACCCTGGTCAAGATGATAAGTTTTTATTTTTATTTGTTTGTTGATGAACTGCTCCCGTAGCGCTGTTTAATCTTGTGTGCTGCGCATTTTGCAGTTAAAAAATTTAATTATTTAGCGAGTATGTACTGACTCATCGTATACATAGTTACCAAGTGCATATATATATATGAATATATTCACTTTCACACCCCCAAACAGACATATACATATATATATATATCTATCCTGGCCTTTGTTTGTTTACGTCGTGGCGCGTGTTATAAATTGTAGTTTAAAATATTACGAAACCAATTATACATACAATTATACAAGATTATACATATATCATAGTTGATAATTAGGCATAACAAAATTTTTAATTGTAGGCATTGGACCGGCAATTCTTTCGTGCTTTTGTTTAGTTTAGAACATATTTTTGATGTTTATTAATTACATTTTGTACATTTATAAAAACCAATCGAACTCACTGCTAAGTTTTTAATTATTGTTTAAATCGTCCTTAATCACACGCCAACATCAACACGTTCATCGACACAACCAAGTTTGCATATTTTATAAGTATGTGAGCGAAATGATTGCCCACCCCAAAAAGAATTGAAAAATTAAGAGAGCAAAACAAAACACTTGAAAAATTACTCAATTAAAATTAGTTTTTTTTTAATTTTTAAATAAACGCAAATTATTTAAATTACTTTTTGTGTTGGATTAAATTTTATTTCTTGCCCATCGCCAAAATCAAACTCTAAGGATCAAACTTCATATACACGTACATCTTTAATACATATTTACATCAGTTTTAATGAAAACGAATTGGACAAATTTCTAGGTGATATTAGTGAAAATTTTATCTGACTTTACTTAAAACAAAATAATTGGTAGATATTTAAGATCCCCCACCCGACCCCATTCCCAAAATCCACCATACCGCCCCAAAATGTAGTGCATATGTGAGATCTATTAATTTTGTATTAAGAGCAAGAATTCAACCCTTGGATTCAAGCAGATAGAAGTAATCCCCCAAGATACAAAACAAATCGATCGTTAACTCTTTAGCTTTAGCGAGATCTAGGATGCGAACGACTAAGAATTCTAAGGCAGAAATCCTGCGCACATTGACAAGGACTCTGCTCCATTAATCCAAAAGGAATGAATAAATAAATGAGCCTTACACTACAGTTGTTTTATTAACCTGGCTTAAATTATGTTGGCTAAAAAATGGTGCAAAAATGTCTTATATCGAAAATGTAAATTAAAGAATTAAAAAAAGTAATTGCCGAAACCCGGGATTGAACCGGGGACCTTTAGATCTTCAGTCTAACGCTCTCCCAACTGAGCTATTTCGGCGGGTGAGTGTTTTGTGACAAAAGGCAGTTTTTTCATCAGCCATGAACAATGGTTTAAGTCTTGAATACGCATTCAGTGTTGAAAAGAGCGCAGTGCTTTAGCAAAGACTTCAACCAAATCTACTTTAATCTAACATTGCTGGCTTGAAAACTGTTGTTTGCCGCAAGAAGTTCAACTGCCGAAATAGCTCAGTTGGGAGAGCGTTAGACTGAAGATCTAAAGGTCCCCGGTTCAATCCCGGGTTTCGGCAATTACTTTTTTATTTTATTCGCATTATTAATAACTTTTTTTTCCTGGAATTACAAATTTGAACTTAATAATTATTTCTTTATTTCCATACGTACCCCACAAAAACCACAAGACACGAAACTAAATCCATATATATAATGTTGTATTTATTTTGCCTAGATTTAGACATCATTAGTATTATAGCAAGCCGCCAGTACTTCAAGTAATACAAAGTATATATTGTAGTGTTTCTAGTTTTACATACGACCTAGGATTAACTAAGAGTGCATGACTATTTATTTTCCGGGGGGCAAGCCCCAAAGTTCTATTCAGAAGCCTTTCCTTCATACGTATATTAAGTGGAAGTGTAGGGCATCCAGATATAGCAGCTCCATTAAGTATACAAAAGTAGATAGCTTAGCTTAGTTTTTAACTACGGCTGGCTGTGGGTACTGAAAAGTGGTCGACTTTTGAGTCAAGCCAGCAGGCAGTACGATAAATTATGTATCAGCAATACAACTACGATTCTTTACGCTATTAAGTTACAACTCAAAATCGTTCGCAAGTTACTCTAAAGCTAGTGCACGGATGGATGGTCCAGTCCAGTCCAGTCTGGAGATCCCGCTCAAAAGTCGGGATCATAGTCGCGGGAATAGCGCGTCCGGCTCGCGTGGTTGTTGTAGCTATACATCTGGTGGGCATCGGCGAAGGCATCCGGATACTGGTGTCCGTACGCCTGCTGGTGCTGCTGAGGCGCCTGGTGGTGATGGTTGTTGGCGGGATACTCCCTGTGGCTGCTGTGGTTTCCATGATGGAGCTGCGGCCTCTTCAGCGAGTCGCCCTTCTGCGAATAGGTCGGCTGCTGGTCGTAGAAGTAATCCCCACTGGTATGCGCATGGCGGGTGGAGCGCCAGCTGTCGTAGATGTTGGAACTGTTGCTGCCGTGCATGGAGTTGGTGAATCGCTGAAAAAAACAATGTCAATATTAGGGACAATAATAATAATGAGAGTCAGCTTTATAGCTTAAAATTTAAATAAGGTTATTTTCGAAAATTTTTTTTTGACGCAAACTACTAATTTGTATGAAACGTTTATCAACATTATCAACGTTTTAATAAAACAAGATTTGCTAAGTAAATGTCCTTTCTCTGATTCCTGCAGTTCAGTTCAAGTACTAATTTAATCGCTTGATAAATACCTTCGGCTTAATAGGTTGCTTGGTATCGTTCCAGGGATCGTCTATGTTATAAAAGTCATCCACGCCATAGTTGTCCGCACCACCCATGTGATTGACCTTCAGCTCGTTTAGCATATCATTGGTCAGAGGTATGGGCGTTTTCTTGGCCCTCTTTTGTCGATTGAGCAACTGGTAAATAAATGCGGTTACACACATTTTCAAAACTACAGAAGTTAATAATCCGTCTTACCACTGTGACACCAAAGATGACGACAAACACCAGAGAACCCACTCCAATCACTATGACCACAATCGCCCATTGCGGAATGAGCAGATCTTCCTCAGCAACCTCCACATTGCTGTGAACATTTTTGGCTATGACTGGAGGTAAAAATATAAATATTAATATTAGGTTATAGGAAAAACTAACCACCGCACTCACCACTAAAATCTGTGGCCACCGGATCGATGATGTATTTGCCCATCTGATAGCTGGCCGTGACCAGCTGCTCCTCCTGCGGCCCCGAAACACTGTCCGTCTCATTTTCCTGGGCATCCTTGTCGGGCAGAACCGGAGTCGCTGGCTTGGTGAGGGCATCGTGGAACAGCTGGCGGATCTCCAGGGTATCCACATCTTCGGTTATGTTGGCCAGCTCCACATAGTAGTCGACCAGAACGCTGCCCTTGCTGAAGCTGTCTATGCGCACCTTCTTGTACCACTTGTTCAGTTGAGGGGCACCGGAGTAAACATCGTTGAGCTGGGCAAAGGAATAAAATAAGGTTTAAAATATATATAAAAATCGTTGAAGAACATTTTTTAGTTGTGATGATAAATAACAATATAATAGCGTATATATATTTAGTTTTAACATAATTTTTGAAAATTATATATAATTAAATAACTAATTAATACACGATCTTTAAGATATTGATAAATTGATCGATTAAAACAGTTTAAACAAATTTCTGAGAACAGCATAATAATAGTAACCCATTAAATGAGACGACTACCAACCTGTGCCTCCAGCTCGTGGGCCAGATTCTTCCACTCCAGGGTGTTGTGATCGAGGAGCTCCGGCTTCCAGGCCACGCCATCGATGATCTTGATGGTGGCAGCCAGGTCGCAGTCGGCGGTGCAGTGACCCGGTTTCGTGGGTCGCGGCGTCGTCGTGGTGGTGGTGCTGGTTGAAGTCGTCGTGGTGCTGGTGGTACTGCTGCTTCCACTGGCGGTCAGAAGGTCCTCAAAGTTGATGGTCTGGGCGTTCAGCTTGTCAATGGACAGCGGGGTGGTGGGTGGAGTTGGCCAGCCGGTGAACTCGGTGGTGGCTCTTGTCGGTGGACCCTTTTTGATCATCACCTGCAGGTTTGAGTTCGAGGATTCAGTGGCTGCTCCCTCTGCCGTGGGATGTGGTGTTGTGAGTCGGTGCGAACCCAGTCGCTTGTGGAAGCCCTTTGGGAACACCACCTTCAGGCCGCTTCCTCCTGCACTTTCCGCTTCCGCTGCTTCAGTGGTGCTGGTAGCCACCGCCTTGGGTTTACTCGTTGTAGTTGTAGTGCTGGTTGTACTGGTGGTCGAGGCGGGATGCAACTTTTTGGACTTGTAGCCAGGTGGCAGCAGTGCAGCTGGAATCTCATCGCTGCTTTCGCTCTCAGTTTCATTTAGCTTAAATCCAGGTGGCAGCAGATCTTTTAAGCTATCTATTTTAATGGGAGTCACTCCCAAGGGCAACTTGGGCTCTTTGGGTGTCTTCACCTCGGGAGGCTTGTAGCCAGGCGGCAACTGGAACGTACTCAAGTCATCGAAAGGCACGGCAACTGGCAGATTTCTGGGAGTCGTCGAGGGACTCGTTGTGGTCGTATTCTCCTTCGGCCTGGGCGTGCTGTTCAATTTGTAATCCTTGGGCAGGAGTGAAGCCAACTTTTCATCGAACTGTATTTCGCTGAAGAGACTCTCCAAGCCGGAGGAAGGTTTCTCGGTGGTCGTGGTGGTCGTCGTTGAGCTAGTCCTTGGTGGCTTATAGCCCTTGGGCAGGAGGCCCGCCTGAGCCACATCCTGCACAGTGACCTGACCACTCTTGAACGATCGACTGATGGTGGAGTTGCGTCCCGGCTTGGACTTTGCCAACTCAGCTGGAGGTGGAGGTGGTGCCTCTGTTGTGGAAGTGGTCGTGGTGATCTTGCGGTTCTTATAGCTTGGCCTGGGCTTGAAACCCACTGGCAGCAGGGTGGCCAGCTCATCCATTTCCCCATCGTCGAAGTGCTGAACCTTCAACTTGCTGCTTGTGGTTCTGGTGGGAGCAGAAGTGGTCCTGGGCTGGTACTTCCTGATGTGGGGCACGAACTTTCCGCTGCCTGTGCCCACAGTTGTACTAGTGGCAGGTGTGGAGGAGTCCATCTGACTGATTATGGGATACTTGCCGGAGAGCAGGCCACTGGAGAGCTCCGATTGGACGCGGTCCAGCTTGTCGATGATGCTCTCTGTGGAGGCAGCCACTGGGGGTGGCACGGAGGTTGAGGAGGAGGAGGAGGAGCTGACCGGAGCCACCTCCTCGCTGCCCTCCGATGGCTTCACAGCCGGCGTCTGCTGCTGCTTGGAGTGCACCTTGCGCTCCAGCTCGGAGAGCGTCTGCTTGGTCTCCTCCTGCTCGATGGCCGGGAAAGGCAGGAACCTGGCTCCATTAATACTGCGACTGGGCTGGATGGACGCCACAACCACATAGTTCTCCGTGGCATTGCCACCCTTCTCCTCTTCCAGGGCTACGGGTGTGGTGGTCTCGACTTTCAGGTCCTCCTCTTCCGTTATGGCATTGGAACTGGGCGTAACCGGAGCTGGCAGAACTGTGGATCCATTGACCACACTCTTGGTGGTCACCACCGAAATGATTTCCCTATCATCCTCGTGCTCGCCACCGGGTGTAGATGGCTTCGATGAGTCCTGACTCCGCTCCGCTTCGCTAGTGGAGTCTTCACTGCCCTCTTCATCGTCGTAATCGTAGTCCTCACCTTCGCCTTCATCATCGTATTGCGATTCGGATTGCTCCGACTTGGGCTCCTCTTGTTTGGCTGGTTTGGGCTCCTCCGGCTTGGATTCCTCCTTCTGCTCCTCAATCTCTACCTCTTCTTGTTTGGACGTACTCTCCAAAGGCGGCTCAGTGGTCACAGTCTGTTCTTCCACTTGCAGATCCTCGGTGGATTGGTTCTCGTGTGGAATGGTAGTGGTGATCTCCTCCTCTTGCACTGCTTGCTCAGTGGTGACCTCCATCTCTGCCTTGGTGACCTCATTCTCTGCCTTGGTGACCTCAATTTCAGCGTGGCTCAACTCAGAGACATCCGTTTGGCTTTCTTCGGTGCTGCTGGTGCTGCTTTCGTGCTCAACTTCGGAAATGGTGGTGAGTTCGGAGGGTTCCACTGCGGGCGAGGAGGCTTCATCCTTAGCCACTGTCACTGGGGTAACGCTCTCCTCCTGGAGCGGTAACTTCTCGAGGCTGGAGGACTCCGAATGCTCTTCGGTGGCCCCCTCGTCAGACTCCTCTTCGTACTGCTCATCGCTGCCCTCCGGCTCCTCATCCTCCTGCTCCTCGTCCAGGGCCTCCTCCTCCAGCTCCTCCTCCTGCTCGGCACTTTCGGTGGTGCTGGTGGTGCGAGGTGTGGGTCTGCCGGGTAACTTCAACCTGGCTGCACTGTAGTCAAAGGGTCGTTTGCTGACTGGCACGCTCACCGGTTCGTTTATCTCGCGACTGATGAAGACTGGACGTCGGGGATTCGGTGACTTTCGGCCAAAACTGGGACGTTCCGAAGGGGTATTCAGGTTGGAGGAGCTGGTAGTGGTACTGGTGCTGGTACTGGTGGTCTTGCCCCTGTTGCTGCCAAATCGATTGTACCGCTTGCTGCTCACCTCCGCACTGCCCGTTGTTGTGGTCGTGGTGGATGCAGTGGAGCTGCCAGGCTGATAGCGATTGCGGGGTCTAAAGGCTGTGGCTGCCGGCGTGGCTGGATTCTCCGGAAGAGCCGAGACCGGGGCTTGAGTTCGTGTCCTGGTGGGTGAGAATCCGCCGTTGCCAAATGGTCGACTGCTGGTCAACGGACGCTTTTCGTTCTGCAAAAATAAATGGGACATCAATAAAAAAGGAGCAAAAAAGGTTTGGTTTCGGATTTCTTTAAAAAAACAAGAAAATATGTAATAATTAGGCAAATTTGTTTTCTTAAATTTAAAATTTAAAATATAACTCTTAAAATAGAATGCACAAAATGTAAGCTACAGCCGATTTTTATTTTGTCAATATAATAAATATGAAGATATCAAAATATTTGCCTATATAACATTACATTAAATTATGTATCAAAGAAAATATACTTCTATTCAAAAATTTTTGTAAATTATGAATAAAATATTTAGCTGATGGAAGTCTAGGCTTTGGCCTATAAATGGCATTGTTATGATTATGGGTTTGGTTTCGGATGTAGGGCTATTATTATTGCCAAGAAGCTCTGGTTTTGGATTTAGGGCTATGGAGTATTATGGGTATTATGATTGGCAAGAAGCCACAGCTGCTGCTGCTGCTGCTGCTGCTGCACTCCGTTCACAGCCTCGACGGCTGTCGTCATGGGAAACTGTTACAGTTTCGACATGGAACCGCAATCTCTGTGGTTCGCTTGCCTCTGAGTCTGCTGTCAATTGTCTTGCGTGCGAACTCTTCTCAACTGCCTTGCCATTCATTCAAGTGATTCTCGAATTTGTCTAAAGCGTTTTGTGCAAATTTCCAGATGCTACAGCTATACAGCTAAAACCAAACTACCCCCTCCATCCGTTCATCCATAATTTATGCGCTCGTATTTATTTTATTTTTATGTGAAGGCAACCTCGCAACTGTCAAAGTTAGGAGATTCCCCTCAGCAGGTTGCCAAATGCGCTGCACGTTGAAAAATAAGATCGTTTTGCACCTGATCAATGTGATTGGGTTTCATCAAGTTTGCAAATAAATAGGTCACTTTTTTGAGTGGAACATACTTAAATTATCACATTATATTTAAAAAAAACTCATATATTATTGAATCTTAAAAAGTTAAATTTTATAACGTTCTGGAACTCTTTAAACATTAAGTCCTTTGGATACTAAAATGTATCTTTTCCAGCAGATCCACAAAAATCTTAATTTTAAATAGGTATTTAAAAAAAAAGGTTACTCGTATAACGTTTGAAAAATCTTAAGGCATCAAGTTCATTTCGAAAGTAAATTTTCAGCTGTATATCTGTAGAAATGTCAATCTTTTTTCTACGTGGGTTAGTGCTAGAGCCACGAAGACCATTGGAGATTGGCAATGGATGGCAGGTGGATGATGGCTTGAGAAGATGAATCTGTTAACCACATAGGCATGATATCTGAAGTAATGCCAACTAATGAGCTTCGAGCGCCCACTAGCAATTGTTTTTATTGGCGATTAATCGTGAGCTGATTTGATATTTAAGCCGGCATCCATCAAGGCAGCACTTTCGCTCGAATGGGCCGACAAATTGCTGCAATTAACTTGAGGAATTTATGTGGGCAAAACCAGAAAACGGAAAAGAAAAATAGAGCGAGAAACTCTTCCGCTCTGACATTTCAATTATGAGTCTTCAGCTATAGAGTTAAATAAATATATAAATGTAAATATTATATATGCACAATAACTTGATACTCAAACCCTTTTTAAAAAATAAACAAATATTGCCAGCCCTCTGGTAATGCGAACATGATTTATGAACAAAGTTCGTTGCTTGCCAAAACGTTGGGCAAATAACAATAAAAAATGTGGAGCATGAAGTGCAATCGGGTGAAAGGTAAAATATTTTAGCCACAATTCGATTTGGCCTTTTTCTGCGGTTTTGTGTGGCAAATGTTTAAGTATTTTTTTGATTTTTCACAAGTAAACATAAAAAGTTAAGTTCGCGTGGTTTGGAACTGGTTCTGAAGTTTGGCTACTTGAAGTTGTTAATAAACGAAAAAAAAAAACAAAAAAAATAAACGCCGCAAAGCATTTACCGTTTGGAAGTCACGTAAGACTCCCGACTCTAAACTCCCCGGAACACCAAAAAACTGATATTGGGCAAAATCAGAGCAGAGCCAATTGTTTTGTTAAATTGTTATGCAATGCCAAAGCGAAATTGTTGCGCCTGAGTTCGAGTGCTTCTTGTTATGCCAATTGAGATTGGATTTCAGCAGCTTTTACTTTTTGCGATCTGCGATCTGCACTCTCCATCTCGATATGCACAGAAAAAAAAACGAATACCGAAATCAAACCGTAATATAAGCATCAAGTTCTCTGCAATTTCTATTTCTGTGTAGATGTTGATTTCATAACCCTATTATTGTTTTTGGTTTACAGCTGATAATATTATAATATTTGGTTAACTGACAATTTAAAAAAATATTACTTCTAATTAGATAAGTAATATAGTAACTTGTTAATTCAATCAATTTCTATTTCTGTATAGCTTTAGATTTCTTTACCCTGATTTATTAAGATGATATAAATTCTACATTTATCAACAATGAAAGTTGATAATTGAAGAAAATATACTTTTATATAGATAGTGATTAAATAACTTGATAATTAAAAAAATTTCTCGTTCAGTGTAGATCTCGATTTGCTCACCCCATTTTCGCTGAAGTGGGCCAGGAACTGCGTCTGCTGGTGAGGCACGTTGATGCGCTGCGTCTGAGGCTGGAATCCACCGCTGCTCAGGCTGTTTCCCGGTCCATTCCGAATCGCCTTGGAGCGTGTGAAGCCGTTGGTCGCCGACGTGCCGGACGTTGCACCAGTTACCGCTCCTGCTCCCGCTGATGCCGCTGGCCCCGCCCCCGCCGGCACTCCAAAGGGGCGTGGCGAGATATCGTAAAAGTCCGTCTGGCGATTCGGTTTCTGTGGCCATCGAAACAAAAAAAAATGTGATAGGCTTTTAATGGTGTTATGGCAAAGCAGGTTAATTAGTTTTAGTTTTTGTTTTGGGCGCCATTGTCAAATGATATAAATGGTCTGATAAATAATGGATTAGGGCTTTAAGCAGAATGAGCCGATAATTAAAAGTATGTGGGAATATGCCTCATAGTATTTGACGATTTCCCAATTTGGGTTATTGAACCTGTTTATTAACCATCATTAAAAGTTGGCACACATGTAATCTTCTCTTGAAGAATCCAAGCTTCTGGTTCTTGAACTCTAAAAAAATGTTAAACAACTTTTTAAGGTCATCATTAGGCAAGTCAAAATTAAGACAAGGATACGGTTAACAATTTATTTAAGCTTTTGCCTATTGAAATGTATACTTAATGATTAAGAAGTAAAGTATCTACTAAGTTACATACACCAAAATTGAATCATCTTCCAAATGGCTTAATGAATCATTGTGAATCAGAAATATTTTAATGGCTCGGCAGGAATTTACCAACTGGTTTGTCACCGCCATATGCAAATCATCTTTCAGGGTTCTTTTTAAGCAAAACCCAATTGTGAAAAGAAAGTCAGCCGATAAGAAAAGTTAACTTTCATTGAGTTTGACTTTTTAATGCCCTCCAACCCCAGAGATTTTTAAACCGACAAAATTGGACTTTGATCGGGGCCTTAAATTGATACCCCCAAAAGTCGGCTTAAGTGACAGAACTATCATAAGCAGGGTCTTAGGTTGACAAAGTCCATAATCTAGGCCAACTTCAGGTGGGCAGGGGCACTCGAGCACTCGAGCACTTGAACACTTGAGTGTTCAGAAAAGATCAGACACAGACCCTTCTCAGGCGGCTTTAACGTGTTGCAGACAATGCCACGGAGCTCTAGACGGATTGCCAAGAAATCAGCATCGAAAGCTGCAGCCAAACAATGGAAATCGATTGAAAATATTTGATTGAAGTGTATCAAGGTCGCTCGAAACGATATCCAGCGACTCACTAATTATCCAGTCGCAAGCCGAAATCCAAATTGCCGCCAGTTTCGCCTCCAATCCAAGTGTACTTGTTGTTATCCATTATTATTACTATTGGTATTGTTTGGGCTGGATTTTGTCTGTTGGCTTTTTGAAAGTCTCGTTGGGGCCTCAACGGCTGCATTGGCTCTGAAAAAGTTTTGCTCTGTTAAGCAAATTGCATACAAAACGCGAGTTTTGTTGCTAAAAGGTGCATTTCAGTGCATTTATTTTTCCGCTTCTTGGCGGAGCTCAGTGTTTACGCATCAGAAAATTCACGTTTCCAGCTGCCACTGATCTTTTTCAATCTGCGGGGGCCCCAGATTTTCACTCCCCAGAGAAATGCGGCCTTTGGCCGACGGACTTACTCTGATTAACAGTCATTTAATGGGCGGCTCTACTAATGGCAACACCTTCTCATTTGTACACCGGAAAAATTGGTCTACACAACTTAATTTAATGCATTAATAGCATTACAGAAACTACCATATTAATCTTATTGTTTCAAAGCAACAATTGACCATGATCTTTAGAAATATAACATTTTTCTTTATGCCAAAAATGTAAGCAATTAAAGTGAACATAACTCTTTAATACGCTCTTACTTTCTTTGTAATTTAATGTAAACTAAACCATTTGCGTCTATAAATACGAATATGTATTCATTTATTTTGCATCACTTAAACACCCAACAAATTTATATTTTTTAATGGGTTTTAATTTTAAATAATTATTTTTGATAATTTAAATACTTATACTATAACTAACGTCATTATTATTGTTTTTAATTGCAGAATTTTTAATAGAAGTCTTATTGTGTCAAGGAAATATTTGACAAAGGTAATATGAAATGTAATAAAGTTTTTAATGCCAAAAAGGTAATAATATTTAATGAACAGAGTTTACGATTCTTGGAGAAAAGTGTCCTTCTAACTTTTGATTCTAAAAGTTTTTCATCGTAATATAAACTAATGCATCGTTAAGTTTTACAATTTTTTTCTCAGTTTATTGTGGTGTTTGTATTTTTGTATGCTCTGATATACTCTCAGATATAAATTTCACTGCTCCATTGTCAACAGTTGGACCGAGCTTTGTGTGTTAGTTGGTGAGTTGGTGAGTGGCGGCAAAGAAAGCGATTGCCAGTCGGTGGGGGAAATTAAAAACAAACGTTTCTGAGGCATTTGTCAATATGGATAGCATAATGAAACTATGAAAGCTTCGCTCACGTCTGTGGAAAGCAGTTGTTAAGCTGGGGAAGAGGGTTATTGCACCGCCACTCGTCATTATGACGCACTTTCCCCTTAGACCAACAAATCAAAATTTTCCATTATGTTTTATGATAAGCTGATGGGTGGATAGGTGATGGCCACAGGGATCTGTTCAGTAGTTCTGCTCCTTTATCCAACCGAAGCTGTCTTCATTCATCATTTAAAATTCTTGCATCGCTGCCTGATCTGGACTTCAGGCAAGTTAATCGAGTTTACGTTGGCTCATAATAAAGTCAGTAAGATATAGTCTGATTGAAATCTAAGTTCGCACAGCACAGGTTTAAATACCCTACTTTTTTATAGTAGTAGAAGTAGTAGCAGTAGTAGTAGTAGCAGTAAGTAGGCTTAATTAATGTTACAATTATTTTTGATTGAAAATATAACATAATAAATCATTTATAATTAAGACTAACGCAAGTTTATTTTATTACACATTTTTCTAAAGAAGTAACTTAAATAGTTTGGTCAGCACAGATTTAAATAGCCTGTATTAAAATATATATTTATACTATTTTTTTAAACAATCATATCATATAATAAACTATATGTTTTATCGATACTAAAAGACTATTTTAGTAGTTTTACTACTTGTAGTGCGCTCTCCAAGGGTGTAACGAAATCAACAACAATGCGAGTGGAGCAGATCGAGTTTGTGGATTGCAACTTGGACGGTGCAGCAATCCCAACCAAAGACCCCTTGCTGTGCGCCACCACCTTTTCCCCTTCCTGCCCATATCCAAAACTTTTCAATTAGGGCCAAAGCTGCAAGCTGCAGCCAAAGTGCGTGCTCATCGCCTTTCAGACTGGCCATAAACAATATGAATTTACACTTTTTTCAATTAAGAAACAACCTCTTCGCGTGGCTTTGAATACTCAACAATTGCTCACGCATATATTCGTTGATATGCAGAAGCCGATTCGCTTTGTTTGACTTTGGTCAAGTGAAAGTATGTTACATCCAAACGGACAGTCTGCAGTTCCCGCCAATAAATTCACGCATATATTTCATATCTACATATAAATTGATTGTAGCTTCGATGTTGTTGGTTTATAATTTTTGATAAGTTAGCGTGTATACAATGTATATCTTAAAAGCAACTAAAACCTTTTGACAGTTGCGTGCCATGAAAAAAGGTAAATATTTTAAACTATTAGATTTATAAAGAAAGAGAAAGGCTGTGCTTTGAAGTTCACTAAATGTTAAAAATTATATCCTAAATTTGTAGGAGTTTCACAAGTCAATATAAGATTTAAAAAATGTATACACTTTTCATAGGAAAATACTAATAAAAGAGAATGCCTGAACTTTAAAGATTACTTAATATTTGTACTGAATTATAAAACATATAAATTTGACAGTTAAATTGTACATTTAAAAGAGAAATATAAATTTTGTAAAATTCAATGATGTGATAATTGTTAGAAATTCCAATTTGCAATTCGTAGTTTAAGAAAACCAATAAAATATTGAAGTTTTTGGATAGCCAACTGAATAAAATCGTCTTGGTTTGAGAAACGAAATTATATTCAGCTCCATGATCCACAACGACCTGTAGACATTGGATTTCATATCCTGCCTTTCGTGTCACGCCACCATATTCACACCAGCAATGGCAATTTAAATTCCGGCCTGCAATTTTGGCCAGCCAACTAAATCAAATTTCATATGTGGCATGTGGAAATCCTTTTGCTTTTTGCATTCGATTTGATTTCGTTTTTTTGGCTTTGATTGACTGGCGTGCCCAGAGTCCACAAAAACCGAAAACGAAACCGAAAAAAAACCCCACTTAATTGCCTAGAGCGGAGCTGCTTGAACGCCCCCTCGCCGAATAAGGAAATGTAATGGGGAAATAATTGAATCTGAATTTGAATTTGGTGCAAGCGAAAAACTTACCGCAAATTGGGAACTACCGCCGAATGGAGCTCCGAACTGGGAACTGGCCGCCGCCGGCGATTGCTTGGCATTTTCGTTGGCTATGAAGAGGAGCTGCTCCTGGTAAGAGCCCGGAGATGGGGCAAATCCGCCGGAACTGGACCGGAATCCACTCAGCGACTGCGGCTGCTGGCGCGGAAAGGAGCCGGACGATGGCACAAATCGATTTTGCGATGGGAAATAGTAGCTGGAAGTATCTGAAGGTCGAAGAGTTATTAGTCAAGTTGTGTAAATGTGTCAACAATCAATTAATTTGTTCATTTCAGCGCCTCTGGCATCGTTTAGCCATGAAACGCACAGTCCCAAAACCCGAAAATCATTGCTCTTAATTGCGCCAAAGTGTAATAAATAAATAAAAAATGCCTCCGGCTCTGACAGCAAATAAAATATTTTATTTTTTTGGGTCACAAATTTGTCAAGGCACGGTGGGCCATTAAGTAACTTTTTTAGCCTTAAATGTGGTCTTTCTATTCAAAACTCTTTTGAATTATTGTAAAATATGCATTTAATTTTAAAGTATATTCACATTAAAAGTTAACATGATGTTGTGGCTTTGTCTGTACTATGGAACTTTACGAAAATAATGGAATTACATATGGCTTATATTTTAAGACAAAAACCGGGCCCACTGTGCTTGTCAAAAATAAAATGTTTGCCTCTTTTTTTTGTCACGCATTTGTCAAACAAAAGTGAATGTGAAACAAGTGAATAATGGTATGTTTGGCTGAAATTTCCTTCAGTTAGCAGTGTGGAGATTTTTCTAAAAATTTAGAGTTTTATAAACGAAAATACCAATACCAAAGAGGGAACCTTAAACATTATTATATCGATTTCCCCATAAATATCCCATAATAATAGCTTATTATATTTTGAAGATCTCAAAGTAGTTAAGCTAATAACACCCCATTAAATTGTTAAATTTTAAGACTTGTTTGTCCCATTTTTCATGTTTATTTTGCAACATCTTTGGTGGCTTATTTTTGCACAATTCTGTTTTTTACTTAAGACTGTTTATGATTGGAAAATGAAAGTGTAGCAAAACTGCAGGCGGATATTAACATAACTCTGCTTTGGCGAAATATTTCGTGTGGAATTAGATGAGATAAAATGGGGAATATACAAGCGGAGTAGAGTTGTAGTCACCCAACTTGAAGCCAAAGTTGCATGCGTCACAATCCTGACTCTTTGACCCACAATGTCTTGCCTTAAAAAATAGCAAACAAGAAAATGCAGTTGAGCCACGCAAAGTTAATTTTTTTTCTCTTCTCGTGTGTCGACAGATTTTCGAGTCGCTAATTGAAAATTGAAATATCATATGGCCGCAGTTTTCAAACGAAATTCATTGAAAATTTTATCAGACGAATTTATGCAAGAGCCCCGAGCTGGGAACTTTCGGAGTGGGGACTACGCCTACATCGACATCGACTCGAGTTGAATTTATCTGGCTTCACACCTTAGTTTTACCTGAAACGTTTTTAACTGCAAGTAATTGCCGTTTATTATCGCATCTAAGAACGCGACGAGGCGTCGCATGTCTCGCACATTTGCCGCCAGTTGTCGAAATGGCTGACTGGAGATTAGTTTAGGGTTTGATTAATGGCCCAGGGATCTGTCAGAAGAAATATACCCGAAAATTTGTATGCCAAGGCAGCAGTTGCAGCAGCCCATTGACTGTTGATTTAAGGCTGCTGAGACACGCCCACTTCCGTTGTTGGCACTGAGTAAATAGTGTTAGGTGAATTACTTCCACAAGCTGAAGTCAAAATTGATTGCGAATAAGGTTGAAATTAATTATCTAACACTCAGATTTTAGATACTTCCAAAACGAGTTTTTTTTTACTTAGAGTATTGTTCATATCGAAATTAGTACAGAAATAAGAGATTTGTTAATTTACCAGCTTTTTGTATGAAAAAACATTAACTGTTAGATAAACTAACATATTTTCAATTAGGATTCTTAAAAAAGTCTTTATATGGTAAAGATATTGAAGAAATACATATATAAATATAGAATAGAATAAATTCTACATTTTACATTTTTTTTTTTACTTCTGTATAACACTGCTTGCTACCCTGCTTTAATAACTGCTTGCGTGGCGAGCCGCTTAAATTTTAGTTCTTATCATATGGGATGAGTTCATGGTGCTGCGGTCTAAGTTTCTCTGTTATTCTGGGTAGAATTTTCGGGTTGTGAGTTCGAATCCCACAACCGCCATTACACACAAAATACAATTTATTAAATTTTTCCTTCTGCGCTTGGGCAAGGGTGGTTACCATTTCAAGCGTAACTTACTCTAATCCGCAAAAGGTAGATCAAATCGTTCATCCTCCATTGCCGTTGACACTGCACTAGTGTTCCATATATCTAAGTGGGCATTGCAGTTCGAATGTGGGTGAATACACTTTGTTTTTCTTTTCATTTATTTTATGTGGCTTTTCTTGGGGAAGCATCTCATTAGCATGCAGTGTGCACTTGACCCAAAATCGAAAAACCATCAAAATAAATTCAAATACGCCGATTCCATGTCGTGACACATTTGCCTATTTCTGGACAGAATTTTACGAGACGAAGTCGGCAACCTTCGGGCTCTTGTCGCATAAATAAACCTATCGATCGCAATAGGAATTTATTGTAATTGTGGTTTGAAGATTTAATGTATGAGCAGAATTCATGATAATCAAAAAATCACGTACCAGTCTGAATAGTGAAGAAAATCGAACTCACTATTATGTTTATGTTTTTAAAAGTCGAAAGTGATAGGAAAAAACTTTTTTTTAACGAAAAAAGTAAATATAATTTTTCAAATGTTTAGTGCATTTGCACTTAGACAAGCTATAACATTTTGGCAGGTGCTTTATTTGGCTTGATTTTTCTTTGGTTAAAAGGCACAACTTTTGGCAAGGCCTTTGAACGATTTTTCATTCTTTTCATAGCACTGGGAAACGGGGTGGGTTTTCGAGTTAACATCCTGGGTCGTACACTTTTCCAAGAGGGATCCTCGATTATGACTCTTCGCATAGACTTTATTATATCGCTACCCTCGAGCACAGTCTGCATTGTTTTGTCCTTTGTTTTTTTCTTCACTGCCAGTGCTCTCAATTTCCGCTCCTCCGTCATCTGAACCCTCGTCCTTATTAGGTACTGCAGTTTTATTGCTGGTTCCAAATTGTGCCACGCCTTAAGGGCCTGTTTCCGTAATTTCTTGTCGGGTTTACGCCCTTCCCATTTGCCAAAGTCCTGAAGGAATAGCTTAATGGGATAAAAGCTCTCTCGTTTATTTTTTATTGACAATAATGCTGAATTAGAATCTTTGTACTCGCTAATTTGGCTGCTTGTCGAGCTGTCCGAATTGTCTTCCAATTCCATTTTGCTACTTACTGCCATGATGGCTTACTGGAAATTTATAAACAATAATTCGAATTCGTTTTTCTTTCTTTTGGCCTTTGTTCAAAGGTCTCCATGTGACAACCCAATTGAAAGTTAGGGCAGAGGCGACCACTACAATGGCTTTCAAATTCGTTTCAACTTAGCCGCCCTGTCCGCTGGTTCTAACTCACCCAAGGTGGCTCTCAAACTGTCGTCTGCATTTGGCATTTGGCAAAACTAAATAAAAAAGCAAAAAATAAGCTGAAAAACAGCAAAATGGTCGAAACAATGGGGCCGCAAACGATCGAGGGGCGTTGTGTGGGCCAAGCGGTTTAATGCAATACCATTTTCAGCCGGCTATTGATGATCGGTAATCGGAACCCAGTATCCAATACCCAGACTGGTCACGTCAAGTGCTATTCTCCCGGCACAGTGCTTTATGGTGGTGTTCTGGCTGATATAGCTATTAAAATTGATATTTCTAAACATTTATTGGCTTCTTATGGCACACAGTTATAAAAGTTTAGTGTTCTACCGGTTTAAAATTGTATTAGCTTTTTCTATGTTAAATCAATATAGGTTATTTATTTAAATCACCATAAATCTTTTTGATTTAAATGGGCTTTAAATCTATATCTTATGATATACGAGAAATCTATTTTACAAAGTCCTTGATATTTTTATTGTTTTACTCTATTAATCGTTGTACTAAAAAGCTTTACTATTATTAACAATATGGTATAAATTCATTATTGTGTTAGGGAGTAGGCAACAAAATACAACTTTAAAGTTCTTTATAAAATTACTCTGTTAGTTTTCATCAAATTGGTTTACTTCATTTTGCAATCGAGAAGGCTATATGGTAGATAGAAATTTTAGAATTCTAACTAAAATAGTATTGTTTACTTACTCTAAAATATAAGGTATTTAAGGTATAGCATTTTGATAAATTAAGTTAAAGATTATAATTTATTATTTTACAGGAGTGGATAACCATTTAAAGCAAAAAAACAATAAAAGGTGTTTTAACCAAAATGGTTAAGTTTTTTGATTTAAGCCCACGACCACTGTGGTTAATTGAACTCGTCTTCTTGACATTTACAGCTTCGCAGCAAAGAATTTAAAATTTGCACGGCATTACAGCTGCTGGCATCGCTGATCTCGAAACCCGCACATTTTTCCGTGAGCGGGCTATATGGCATTATCTAAAGCCATTGCTATTGGGGGCTTGAGAGCAGCCGGCTAATTACGCGAGTGACAATAGCCTGGGCATTTTCAGATGCATTATATCGCACTGGGCTGGGCTGGTGCAACAAATTGCGAAAATAAAAGCATGAAGTCTTGCAGCGTCTTCTTCATTTGTATTTTTTTGTTTTTTTTTTTTGGGTTTTTTTATTCGCCCTGTTTTTTGTTTGTGCGAAATGTCAAGCCATGGCGCAAATACTTCACCAGAAGTGCAACAAAAGCGAAGCAAACAACGAGAAACAGCAACAAATGACAGCAGAAACAAGTTGAACTTTACGTTTTTCTTAACTTTAATCAAGTTTCCTTGGCTGGCCGCTCTCTGCGATGCATTCGCTTTGTTGTTGTTTGCGTTGTTTTTATTGTTAAGGCTTCTTCGTTTTTCTCTTATTGTTTGTTGTTGTTTTATTGAAGGTCGTCGTCGTTGCCTGATGTTTTGACTGAAGCCCAACGTTTTGAAAGTTTCAGTAAGTGTTGAACAGAAAAAATGGCAATACACCATTATGATAGGAGTTCTAAAAATTACTCAATAAAATCCCACATTTTTATCATACCTCATCATCAGGGGCAATCAAAGTCAAACACTCCCACACCCATTTGGCAGATAGTTAAAACTATATTATGTATATTCCCCTTAGGCCTAAGTAACCCCATTAATTCTCAGTTGCTTGGCCAAGCAGAACTCATTTCCTAGATCTGACATCATGCATAATAGGTATCCGCGCCCAGTTCAGTAAACCCGATATTATTACTTCTATTATGCTTCTTTTTGTTTGACAAAATTTCATTTAATTTACTCAGTTTTAATGGACTTCGGCGTACTGATCAGAACCAACTCGAAAGATAACATAGAAATAATCATAAACAAGAAAGAAAGCAAACTTCGGCAAGCCGAAGTTCATATACCCTTGCAGCTATCGCAAGAATTAAATATTTTTGAAAACATTAAAATTATGATTTACTTGCGAATATGTTTAAAACATTGAAGCTATGACGATTTGCAGCTTAATTATTTGATTGTTCTTTTATATATTTTTATTATTTGTATGGGAGCTATATGATATAGTCGTCCGATTTTGATGAAATTTAAACCATAATTCTGAAATATTTAACCATTGCTGTATGTCGAAGAACTAAAAAAAAATTAAAAAACAGCAAAGTTATAATTTTTTTTCAATTATTTTTCCGATTGTTCCTATGGGAGCTATATGCTATAGTCGTCCGATTTTGATGAAATTTTAACCATAATTCTGAAATATTTAACCATTGCAGTATGTCGAAGAACTAAACAAAAAATTAAAAAACAGCAAAGTTACAATTTTTTTTCAATTATTTTTCCGATTGTTCCTATGGGAGCTATATGCTATAGTCGTCCGATTTTGATGAAATTTTAACCATAATTCTGAAATATTTAACCATTGCTCTATGTCGAAGAACAAAACAAAAAATTAAAAAACAGCTAAGTTATAATTTTTTTTCAATTATTTTTCCGATTGTTCCTATGGGAGCTATATGCTATAGTCGTCCGATCCGGCTCGTTCCGACTTATATACTACCTGCAATAGAAAGACAACTTTTGGGAAAGTTTCATGCAGATAGCTTTAAAACTGAGAGACTAGTTTGCATATAAACGGACGGACAGACGGACAGACGGACAGACGGACGGACAGACGGACATGGCTAGATCGACTCTACTAGTGATGCTGATCAAGAATATATATACTTTATAGGGTCGGAAACGTCTCCTTCACTGCGTTGCAAACTTCTGACTGAAATTATAATACCCTCTGCAAGGGTATAAAAAGCCAAACAAAATTGAAACTGGAAACGAGAACAATAAGCTTCCAACTCCGTTGGCGATAATATCAAAGACAAATAAACCTGAGAAATCTTTCAAGAAGTGGACACAGTGTTCTTTCGGCGGCGATTCGCTAATTAGAAAATAATGCCCACAGCACCAAGGTCAATTTGCAAGATGAAAGTGAGTCAGCCGAGAGATTATTAGCACTAATGGGTTAAGTTTTTTCAGATTTACCCACTCAAAATCGACAGGTTTGTCGCTTAAGTCTTTTGTACTTTTTCCTGAGATCATAGAATTTGCAAGTTTGTCGCCTAAGTCTTTCCTTTACTTTAATGAGATCATTGAATTAGCAATTTTGTCGCCTAAGTCTTTACTTTACTTATTTAAGATCAATAAATAAGCAAGTTTTCGCTTAAGTCTTTTGTACTATTTCCTGAGATCATAGAATTTGCAAGTTTGTCGCCTAAGTCTTTCCTTCACATTCTTAAGATCGTAGAATTTGCAAGTAAATGCAGAAAATACTCTCTCGGCGGCTTACATCATTTAAGGCGTTTGCGTTTGCCCAACTCGCACACATTCCGATTTAGTTTTTAATTATATTTACTAATACTCCACTCGCAGTTGGTTAATTACATATGCAAACTTGTTACACAAAGTAAACCAAATGTGAGCAGCGAACAGTGAGCAGCGCAACCGAAAGCAAAACAACTGCGAAAACCAAAACAAAGAAAACTGTTGCAAGGCGAGTAGTCGGCCAACAGCTCTCCAGCTGGCTGGCTTTTATTGTTGGCCAAACATTCAAGATTGGAGCACTAGGTGGCACCCACTGGACTGGCCAAAATATGTGGCAAGCCAGCAGCAAGTAGCAAATGGCAGAATGCAAAACTTCAAATAGTTTGTCAGCAAATAAACAAATTTCACATCTACTCGTTGTCGGAAAAATAGGAAAATATTTGTTAAGGTAGCCGTCGATGTTTGCGATTCGATAAGTGGCTAACAAACAAAACTGAGTGAGTAAATAACAACTGTTTTTGTTAATTTATGAGGGAGTTAAAGTGATCTATATTGTTTCAATAATAAGAGATAATGAAAAATATGATAGTTTTATCAGTATTTGGAAGATTCAACTATAAAATAATTGGCTACAAAAAATACAAAATTATATTAATTGAAAATGGTTTATGCTTATGGACAATTTTAATTATAAAATTTACAACAAAACTTTAAAAATTATATTTTATGATATAAAGACAAAGTGATTTTTATGAACTCAATTTCCTGCATACTAATCTTAGTTCACGCAAAGAAAAACAACTGAATTCAAACATCGCAAGCAGCGATCGTTAATCATTGCGACTAACATGACAGAACCCTTTAATTTAACACCATCTAATGCAGCCGCGAGTGGAGGAAGTGAGTCCGAGAAATGTCACCGGGGAATGTGGCTCTGTGGACAAAGAAAGAAATCAGGGGACAGCTCCACACCCTAGAAGTTGCAGTCAAGTGTCGGATTGTCGCATTGTCGGCTTGTAATTGTAAACCCAATCCATTCCATTCCACACCCCCGCCGAAGTACACAGACAGGCAAATTAAATACAATTAAGGCAGAAATAATTGCCAAGCCATAAACAGGTTCTGGCCGGGATTAGAATGTGGCTCTGTGGCTCCGTTCTGTTCTGTTCTTTGTGCGGGTGTTGGCCAAGTTTAAAAGCAATTTCAAGTCGAGGGACAGGAGCATTCTAATGGCAATGTCCTTGACTGGGGGTTGTATATATGCATAAATGATTGATTGAATTTTTCGCTTTTCGTTGGCCAACAGCAGGCGGATATTGTTTATGTGGAGTCGGAAATTGGGCTCTCACAAAACATACATAAATCAATTATGAAAACCAGAAAACGAACCAACAACAGGCCATTTAAACTGGTTTAAAATATGTACACTTCACAGTTTGCTTTGATTTTCCCTATCTTTTTTTTAGCAGCCAGTCGGCTGGCTATTTGCATAAACAGTGCAACTTGTAGAGCAATTATACGCAGATTTTGGTCAATGGGCGAACAGGTTGCTTTCTGCTGGTGAATGTAAAACTATGGCACTAAACTGGGTAACTGTAACGCAGACTCAAGAGATCTTAAAAAAACGTTAGCAGGTGCTCGTATCTGGCATCATGTTCGAGTTATATAAATTAAAAGTCGGTGTCACATTCCCACCCCTTCCGCCTGGGAATCGTGGGCTTCGACTCGTCATCAAAATACCCGAAATTGAAAGCATTTTTCGGTGGAAACCGCATAAATTTGTAAAGCATTTAAGCTAAAACATCCGATGCGCCAAAGGCAGGCAAAAAAAAAAAAAACAGCAGCAACTACTGGGCGTGGCTGACCAAAAATAAAAACAAAATACAAAACCTTTACGTAATGCTCGCTGAGGTCAGTGTTTTGGGCGGTGAAATGAATGAATTTGGTGAACGAAAGGCCGGGCCCCAAAACGAAAGTGAAATTTCCATCGCCCGTTGCCCATCGATCGGAGTCAATTTTTCATTGGCTCCGCTTGATTTTGGGCTCGTGATTTTGTAAATTAAATAATCATCGTCAATTTAAATTTTTTCTTTTGTTTCAGGGCTAAAGGGTAGGTCGCATTTTTAATAAATTGATTAAACCGACGTCTGTGCGGACAAGAAAAATTATTTCATTTTGGAATTGGAAACAAATGGGAGTCTTTTGATTGGAGGAAAGAGTCAAGGGAAATATTTTGTGGGAAAGTGAAAATGTTTTACTTTGTAACATCGCCATTATTTAGTTTAAAATTTCATGGGGATAAAATAAATTAGTTATATTCATTAATTTCTCTCTTTTGTGAAGACGCTTTAATTTAAAGTGTAAAGCAACCTTATGCTGAGACATAAGCAAAATCTTATAAATTATGGTACTCCACCAAAAACCATTTTTTACCAAAATGCTATGGTAACTTGAAACCCGCAATGATTTTCGCATAGAGAAGGACAAAGGAAATAAATGGCCGAGTTCGTGGCCCAACTAAAATGGCAAACGAACATGAAAAACTTCTTAGATGGAAAATTCTTTAGCCGGTTTTCGTGTTGCCTTACCACTCCCGAATTGGCCAAAACAGAAAACTGGTTCAATTCCAACACTAAGTCTGGCCACAAGCGAGTGCGGGTGGCACCTTCACCTCCCCACTTTGCCTCCCCCTTTGCGCCCACTCAAAAAAACACGACTTGGCTAAAAGGCAAAAACTTCAATTCCAGCTTCAATCCAGAGTTGGGCCCTTCGTTTGGTTTGTTTTCGGTTTTTGGTTTTGGCTTCGCTTTTTTTTTTGGAAGCTCGTGCTGGGTTCAAAGTTGGAGTGTGGAGTCCAAATTTCTGGGTGAAAGGCCGAAGCTGCTTTGCATTTTACTGCCTGCCTGGGTCCCGTCGTCGATATTCTATCAATTATTTGATGTTTGATTTGTGCTTCACACTCGAATGTTGATTTTTCGTCTGCTCCTCTGTTTTCCCACTGAATTTTGGCTTCGTCAGCTTTGTTGCTCGTGCCATGTTATTTAAGCTTTTTTCGAGGTGCGACTGCTCTTTGTTTACGTTCATTTTTTCCATGTTGTTTCTATAGTTAACATTTATTTTTTTGTATGCCTCTCATTCGAGCTTCTCTTTTGCATTTATGTAATTTACAAAGCGTGCTCTAATAAAAGCGGCAGCAAAAAAAATTATATTGCAAATATTAAAACTAAATTACGAGCGCGCAAATGCAAACAAGTTTTTTTGCGATTGCAAATAGCCGTGCTGGAATCGAGAAAAAAAACACAGATTGTGCTGGGTGCCAAAGTGGTCCGACTTCCTTGGCTTGTTTGGTTTTTTTGTACTGGGCTTGGCTCGCTGTCCTAACCATAAATCTCATTTAATAAGAGCACAAATCAAATAGAATAGCGAATACAAAGTATAACTGTAAGTGTAACCTGATGAAATCGATAGGCTATGAAAAAAAAATATTTACAGAAGCAAGAATTATAAGACAGAAAGGCATAATGATTATCAGAAAGTATCTCTTACAACACATTACCCATTGTATATTTTGAAAC